CCTCAAATGACAACCTCATCTACTAACATCGTGTCCACAGCACCCCTCCTCCTGCCCCAACCCATCCCACCCCAAATATGATGATCCCCATACCCCACTCACCCATCAACACCATTCCCCAACAAACTTACACCCAAGGCCCAAATATCCGTCCCCTTCATCTCCATCCTCGTCGGAATCTCCTCCCCTCCACCCCACCAAACCTCTCTACGCCATCTACTCCCCCACCAACATATCCCCCCAACACATCCACGGATACGGAACCATAACCAACACCCTAACCATCTGTCCACTCCGATCCTCAGCTTCAACAACAGCGATTCCATTTATTCCCGCCAACATCTCAATATGATCGAATGCATGAATCGCTGTCCACGCTACTATCAAATAATTCACCGTCCCTCCTAGAACGAAAACGGAGTTTATGAAAAAGCTTTTCAGAATTCGTTTACAACCCAGTTTGCTGTAGAGGAGGCATGGACGTATATATCTGATTTGCGGTCCGGACAGGATAATATAGCAGCATTGAGAACATTACCTCTTGATCGACATCTTATTTCCAACGATCCAGATGCAAGCGCTCTCTGTATTTCCCTTACCGCGCCTCCGAGATGGAATTTTAGCGTGCATCATGTTGATTTTGCGGATCTGCAGCTAGATTCTACACAGAATTGTAGATTGTTAGGATTCTTCCAGACATTTGTCCAACACTATCGAAACCACGTTTCCTATCCCATTTCAAAAAAGCCGCATATGTACTCTTGGGATTGGAACAAGTGGGAGCTATTTACTAGCAAACCGGATGCGAAGGAATAAAAACACATGCAGGATAAACTGTAGATGATTTTCTGGCTAGGGATGCGAAATATGAACAATTTACTGAGGAATGGAGGTTTTTGTATGCTTGGAATCCAATTGCATGGTTAGAAGTTGAGATGGAGGATGAGATGAGGAGGGAGAGGATGGGTTGGAGGAGAAGAAGGATTCCGTGGATGGGACTGGTGGATGGGACTGGTGGATGGGGTTGAGATGGTAGAGGTAGTAGATTGGGAGATGTTGGGTGGGTTTTATTGGGATGATGAGGAGAAGGGGAGAGGATATCCCAGATTATTTGTTCGTGAAATGGATGAAGATGGATTTGTTGATACTACTGAGATTTTGATAAAGAATGAGGGGTGGAAAGAAACAGAGATGCGAAATGATAATTCGCAGCAGCCGAAGTATGTAGGTGAATTGCAAACAAAAGGACATGGAAAGAATAATAAGAGACGTCGAGAGGAACGCGGTGAGAGTTCGGTGATTAAGAAGGCAAAACCAGCAGCGTTGAATATTATTTCAAACTCTCGGTGATGCTGAAGATTTAATTTATACATAGTTTAAGCTTTGTCTTTGCAGTTCAATTATCTAATGACTTAGTCCGAAAGCAAACGTTACTTAGATGTTTCTGCACCGTTTAATCTGAAATCCAGATATTAGGAAGATCTGATGATAGTAGCAACGGCAGTAACTACTAGCCAGCCATCACAATCCCACTAGACGTAAAATCTCCAGACAACTACCTCAACACAACCATTCACCACATGCTAAAAGTAAGCAAGCCATTGAACCATCAAACCATCAAAAACTAACTCCATAAAACATAGACTACCACCGAAAAAGTGCAACTACTTAGTAGACACAATCCCATTTCTAACCATTATAAGATCACCATACTATAATATAATCCAACAATACATCTCTTTTAAGTTTTCATTGACTCATTGACTCCAGCAATCCAGCGAACAATCATCCAGTGCTTGATATATAGATACATCAACATCAACATCATGACATAAGTGATAGGAACACAGGACCGTATCCAATAGCCAACATCTTAAGTAATAAAAAAATAAAAATAGAAATACACTGCAGAAACCCCAAAACAAGATCGTAACAGCACACACAGCCACAGTATCTCATAAACATCTACCCAGCACAAAAACAAAATTTCACCACGAGACCCCCATAATTCATACCTCGACTCCCTAAAACCCGACAAGAAAGCCAAAGGAAAGACAACGAACAAAAACGGACACACACACAGAGAGATATAGTATGCTCCATCCTCCCTCCATCCAACCCATCAATATAAAACACCAACCCCAGCACCTCACTAAAAGCACAAAAATAATATAATTATGAACGAGGCAAATCTTCCGCAATATCCATAAACCACCTCAGATACCTAACAATCCATTACAATCTTATTGCCTATACTTAGACAAATCGCATATATATACATATATATATATACTTCGAGACGATATTCATCAGCATCATTTTCTTCTCAGATTCTTGTCGCGTGAAGAATGCTCGAGGCACAATGACTTGCCATTATCAAGCCTTTCCAGAACAGTTCTTCATCCGGTGTTTCCACCTCTGTAGTGCTGATGCATCGTATCTTACCTAATATACCCTTAGTATACACCGCCGATGTGTTCATTGGAGATTCCATTAATTCATTGAGCCTACTAGCCTGTATATCATCTCAGGTTTTTTGTTTAAAAAAAAAAGTAAAATTTCTAGCGCTGGCATCACTATCCTAAGACAGAGGCGAAATTCCTATTCTCTTTGCTTATGAAAAAGAATTAATGCTATGATAACCCCGAGCCATGAGATCACCTTTAATGCCTGGTCGTACTAATAAAAAACACATTTACATGTGGATCCACCACCACCGAAACGCCTTTCCGATGAGTTGAGTGAATCTTTCCCTAACATAACTTATTGTGCAAGAGCACCTCCACCAGGTGGTCCTTTGGGTCCCTTATCCGCAGGCCCTTGGCTTCCAGGAATTGGCGCCAGTGAGGTACCCATACTTTCAGGTACCTTTATGCTTCCCGAAGGAGCGATCGCTCTACCCTCCAACTTCTCTCCTCTTATAACCTTAAAGGCTTCTTCCCTATCTAACGTCTCGTAGTCCACTAAGGCTTTAGCAAGGAGATCCAATTCCTTACGCTTGGATTCAATGAGCTTGACAGCACGAAGACGAGCCTCCTCAATGACACGGCGAACTTCAGATTCGACAAGGAGCTTCGTTCCTGCGGATAGTTGTTCATAGTTTGTCATCAAATCTACATTTCCAAGCTCAGGCGACATTCCAAATCGAGTGACCATGTTGTATGCAAGACTTGTGGCGCTTTGGAGGTCCTATTTGCAAAGTTAGAATGCTTCCGCGTTCTGAAAGTATCAATAGTGAAAGAAAGACCTACCCCGGAAACTCCACTCGTAACCTTTGTGGGACCATATTTGATTTCTTCTGCCACCTTACCTCCCATGCACACATCGAGCCTACTTTCATACTCGTCCAAGGTCATTGAGTATTTATCCATCGCTGGCAAATGAAAGGTTATACCGAGAGCACTGCCTCGAGGCATGATTGTAACCTTGTGTAACGGATCTGTCCCAGGGGTGAACATAAGAACGAGCGCATGCCCCGCTTCATGATAGGCTGTCATCTCCTTTTCCTTTTGAGAAATAACCATGCTTCTCTTTTCAGCACCCATCATTACCTTGTCCTTAGCCCATTCAAAATCTAACATGGAGACCGCTTTCGCTTTCGCTCTACTGGCGTGTACAGCAGCTTGATTGATGATGTTCTCGAGTTCGGCGCCGGAAAAGCCTGGTGTACCAGAAGCAAGTGTTTCAATGTTGACATCAGGAGAAGCAATGATCTTTTGCATGTGATGCTTCAAGATCGCCAATCGGCCACGCACATCTGGTAAACCGACGACGACATTTCGATCAAATCGGCCAGGTCTTGTGAGAGCCTTGTCTAGTAACTCGGGGAAGTTGGTAGCAGCTAAGATGATAACGCCATTGTTTTGTGCAAATCCATCCAGTTCAGTGAGTAATTGATTGAGAGTTTGCTTAGAATATGCGGCATCCCGAGCATTTCGTTTTCCTCCAATAGCGTCTAGTTCGTCGATAAAGATTATGGCGGGTGATTTGCTTTTCGCAGCAGTAAATAGTTCCCGTACTCGTTTAGCACCAACACCAACATATATTTCGTCGAATTCACTACCAGACATAAAGAAGAATGGAACTCCAGCTTCACCAGCAACGGCACGAGCCAACAAAGTCTTACCAGTTCCAGGAGGGCCAACCAGCAAGACACCCTTTGGCAATTTTCCACCGAGTGTAGAGAACTTTTCCGGGTTCTTCAGGAAATCTACGAGTTCCTGAAGTTCATCCTTTGCTTCATCGCAGCCATGAACATCCGTAAACCTGACATTTTGATGTTCAGCCTTGGCCTCATTGTCGGCTTTGGCCCCTCCGGGCCTTCTAGCAACAACAGAATTAAAGCCTTCAATCATCATAGCAACGACGACCAAACTGATGTAGGTGAAAAGTGCAAAGTAGAGACCAAATTTAACCCATTTGAAGATGGTGTTACCCATAGTTTCATCAACAACAACATGCATAGGAGAGTTTTTATCGCCGGAACCTGATACTTGGCCGTGAGACATAGCAATGTTACCACCCCGAGAATTAGCAGCAACTGCTTGACCGATAGCTTGTAATTGGGCGTTGCCGAGATTTCCTGGTTGTCCGGAAGCATTCGCCATGCCACTGTTCATTTGTCCTAACATGCCTAACGCTCTGTGGTATGCAGCTTCACAAGCAGCGTTTGATGCGAAATGACCGGTCTGATATCTGTCGGCAATGATGGCGGGCATATTCGCCTTCAAAAGCGCTTGGTAGAGAGCATTTTGCGCGGTAGCACTACTCGGATTCTTGTTGGCCGTTACTTCCAGATGAGAGAGTAAATTGTGTGACGTATTACCACCGAAGAGAGATCTTTGCTGAGTTTTGAAGAGTTTTGTAAAGGGACGGTATTGCTGCGGCCGCAGAGACGAAGAAATAGACATTTGCCGACCATGCGCGATGGCCAAAATAGATGAGACAGGAACCGTCGAATCTGCAGTAGAGATACGTTTAAAGGCCGAGGTAAAGACATGTCGAAGACTTGGAGATATCGAGTCAATGTGCACGTTTGCAGATGGTACAGGAATCGATTTGGTCGAGAGCTGTGGCGGTATTAGCGGGGCTAGTTCAATGGAGATGAAGTCTTTGTTCCTACGAACCATTCGCGCCGATGGCAGAATCATCTTCGCACATTGTGTTTCTGATGCGTTTCGGACGAAAAGCCTTAAAGGCGTAGCCATCTTAGACAATCCATGATATGGTGTTGCCATGACTGGCAGAACCAAATAGGAATAGATTATGAACTCCTCCTTTCAACCACCACCCAATGAATTTTCGGACACTTCTCCTGGCAACTGTTTCTGACTGTGCGATACCTAACCAACAAATTCTAAGAAATGAAGTTTTGTTGAACCTCGATTGTGTCGAGGAGACTAATAATTGTTGAAGCCAAAATGGGACACAGAAGGCAAATCGGTGCATCATGGAAGTTGTTAGATGCGGCAGCTTATTAATCCACTAGACTATTTTCGATCTAGATCTGGGTGTAAAACTACCCACTACCACGTGTTGGTCAAAGCCAGTCAAGAGATAGGTACAATCCCCTTAAACTAAGGGAGATTTAGGTGATTATGAGGTTACCAGGGTAAAAATCTTCATATACGAGTATTTTTATTTACCCCCAATATCATAATATATCATAAACTAAACTACAGTCACTATATTAGATACTCTTTCCTTAGGTATTTAGAACTTCACCTAGGGCTTTACCTCGGATAAGTGAAGAGGGTTCAAATTATCCACAATCGTCAGCAATTCGTTGGAAATCACTGTCTTCATCGAAAATGAAATCAGGAGGATGGCGAGAAAGAGAAATCCAGATTTTGAAGGATTCCTTACCTGTGCACAAATCCGCCAGTAGCCAGTTCGATGTTGTGTTGCTAATATATAGTTCAGAACAGATAAGTGCTTTTCTTCATTGTAAGAGTACCATTCACAAGTAAAGAAGGAGAAGTTCTTTCCAATAGTCATATTACTAGGTATCTATTTACTACTCCTATCAATACACAAGGATGCCCTCCCAACCGAATACCCAATGCGATTGCACATCCAAAACTAATAAACATTTAAGTAAGTATTGATACACGTGGCGAATCCAGCCTTGATAACCAGTCGCCAAATACAAAATAACACGGTACGTTCGCCGATGCCCAAAAGTATACAACATGAAAGGAATGACCTCGTTGAATTCGTGGCGCCCATAATACCACACCTTGTCATTATGTACCCTTCCTTCATCTCCTGCTCCTCCCGAGTCAATATATTAGATCCAGCTTTAACTGTATGCAAAACCAGAGGCACACCATTACAAAATAATAGAACGAATGAATGAAAATAAAAGAACTAAGGTAAAAATGTCAGGACAAGCTGACTCCCCCGTGATGGAGAGCTGAGCGATGCGCATTGGTGATTAAAGATATGAGACCGCCATGAGATTGTGGTGGTCTGTAAGATATTGTGAAGCCTGAGGATGAGACGCATTCGTGGATATCGTTAATGTACTAGGTATAGCGCAGAGACTCGAAGAAGTGAAAACTTTTGCTGATGAAATGAAACGTGCCATCTAATTAATGATACAATCGCCAAAAAGATAATTTGGAGGTGGGTGTATATCGATGTGACTATTCGATATTGTTACAAATTCTCAATGCGAGCACTGGGCATCTGTAATGATGGATCATCGAAGCTCTCGAGTTTAGGCCAGGGATCGCTGAAGACGGTGACTTGAGGGTACATTGGTACGTGGCTGATGACTTCAGGTTGTTGATAAGGAGTACTTTCGTACCACTGGCCATGCTCAGGAGGTTGTGGATAATGTTGTTGCAAATGGTGCGGTGCCTGTGGTGATTGCATTGTCTGAGGTTGTGGCAAATGCTGCGGATAATTGATCAAAGGCTGCGTGTCGGTAGGAGATTGCCCGTGAATAGCATAAGCAGGAATATGGTGCTGCGTATGCGTATAGTATGGCTCTTGGGAGACTGGGCTGGCACGGGAGTGGGGAGAGTAACTACCCGGACTGCTCTGCAACATCTCCTGGGGATGTCTCTCCATGGAATGGCGAGGAATGTGGTAGGTCTGAATGGGAGCTGGGTTGGTGTTTAAAGTCGCAACACCGGGGTTGTTCTGCTCTGGAACGTAATAAGAAGAATGTTGAAGAGAAGCCTGCCTTTGCATGATTTGTTGGTGTTGCTCGGGAATACCATAGGCCTGAGGGCCTCCTGAAAGACTGTGTCTATGGTTGTATCCTTGTGACATTTGGTATCCATCAATCTGTTGTCCAAAATCCGCAAATGAGTGTGCTCTATGCATCTGATGTCCACTTGGAACACCTGGTACTGTTAAATGCTGAGGCCATTGAATCTGACCAGAATGGTGTTGAGGGGTGGTTGGCGATTCGCCACTGTCTGAATCGGAAGTCTCGCCGTCATCAAGTTCTGATGAATGAATACCACGCTGATGAGAACGTCTTTGATGCTTGACCATGGTAGTCTTTCGACAAAAGCTATTGCGTGTTAGTGCTAGTCAAATAATCATGTTCTGTAGAACGAACCTCTTTAAGCAGCCATCGTGTGCACATTTGTACGGTCTCTTGCCTGTGTGAATACGCCTGTGGCGGGCAAGACTAGATGACTATATGATCATTTTTTAGCAATGATCTCGTCAACTTTTTGTGTGCAATTCTTACGTCAGAAAATCTTTTACCACATCCGATGTGTTGACACTGATGAGGCTTTTCGCCGGTGTGTGTACGGATGTGCACGGTCAAAGCACTTCTTTGGATGAAGCTTTTGCCGCATCCAGGTGTTACGCATGAGTATGGTCTCTCGTTTGTATGTATGCGATAATGGCGTTGAAGATCAGATTTTCTGTTGAAGCTCTATATATACTGTCAGCTGACGTCGTATCAAGTACACCAGTAGCTCCATACCTTGCTGCATGAATTCCAATCGCATTGAAAAGGTCGTGCGTTTTGCTCGTTCTCGACTAGCTCCATGACGTCCATTATGTATTTTTGACTGTATTCTGTCGAAGTAGAAGTGTTCAAGACTCAAGATGGAGTGGTCGGTTGTGTCTCTTGAGGAAGTTGTGATGGAAGGACGATCCGAAAATTTCAGATATGGAAAGCAGATGCTGTGGCTTGATTGCTTGATATACAAGGAAAGCCGATTAGAAACTGAACTGGAATCGTGGAAAATACAAAGCGTCCAGCGCAATAGCGTTGAGCGAGAGAGTGACAAGTGGCGACCTGACTTGAAGACGGCTGTGAAGGAAAGTAATATAAGAGTTGATTCCACGAGAAGGAAAGCTAAGCTGGTCTTGTCAACTATATACAGGAATAGCAGGAAACTCTTAAAAAGAACTGAGGAAGTCAGAGAATTGAAGACTGGATGATTTAATGAAGTATCGACAATGAGCAGGTAGAGGTCATATACATACTCTTTGAGGCGCGGGATGTGATGAAGCTTGTTGATCGAATTACCCAAACACGGAATGGTGGGGCGCACGAGCAGTGGAGGAAACTGTGAGCTTGGTAAGGAGACTAATATGAAGTATACCTGGATCTAGTTCTAGCTCGCTCAATTGCGGGTCATTCAAGTGGGCGGACAAGGTGCGAAAAATAAGGGTTCTCGGCAGGTAAACTTTACTAATTGACCAGAATACGATTTGGTTGTTTCGACGTCAAAGTGTCTCTGAAGCAATGTGGATGTATTAAAAGTTACGAAACAAGAACCATTCTTGAAGCGGAATCGTTGGGACTTTAGAGGCGGCCCAGATCGTCAAGTCTAATTTTCTGGTGAGTTGAGAAGGATGATGGTTGTTGGACTCGAGGAGTAACTTTGTGGATGTGGGTTCTGAAAGATGGTGCCAGCAAGTTATGGATATCCAATTTTTTCAGTGGGAATATGCTTGGTAGTTCAAAGCTTTTAGAGTAGAGGCAGCATTCCGCTTGATAAGATATGAGATGCTGGTGATGGGTCTATAGTTCGAGGGCGAGATTGACTTCAAGATATTGGGCGTTTTCTGACTCGTGCCCGCGACACACTGGAATGAGTTGTAATTCTCGTGAGTAAACGCCTTTTTTCTTTTGAAGAAGAAAGTGCCAGGGAGCGAGGGACCCCAGTAGATATGCGAGGATGATATTGTATTGACAATTGCATCAACTAGCAATGAGGTAGGCAGTCAGACTTTCGCTTCGATGAAGCAATCAAGAAGGGTGAGGATAGGTATGGGTACGTATGGATGGATGGATCGATATGGATCTCTAAGTGGAGCGAGATTTTCGCACCCGAATGAGTTACCCTTGAGACGTTGGTTGACCCTTCCACTTTTTGTCGAATGATACTCTGATCGGTAGTCGACTAAGTTGATGATTAATGGGGGCATTCGAGGTTTTGAGGTTGTAGAGTAGCTTCTGAGTTGATAGTGGGAGTGGAGTCAAATTATCTTTTTTTTTTTAACTTTACACTGTAATAAAGTAAACCCTGGCTGGAATGAACGGTTTTTCTTTTCTTGTTTCTTGTGATAAGTATTTCATTTTTCATCCTTCATCCTTTTTTCTTCTTTTATCTCCTCTTCATTCTAAGGCTTCATGTAGAGCCTAGCTGTACGAACTATCTCATCTACCTGGTAACAGATGGAAAGTGGAAGTAACAAACACATTTCATTCGGTAGGTACGTATTTCTCGTCGGCGGTGTTTGTTTTGGGCGTATTGATACAGCGAATTAAGTCGAGGGATTAAATACAAACTATCCTTATTTGAGCCTATGATTTCGATATTAGCCGTTCATCTAGCAAGCCCTTCCATAATGCATTCTGCATACCTAGTAGCATGGGGATTCGAGTAGCACCATGTCATTGGGCTGTTCACGACCGGCTGGGGCCAGGAGGTTCTTTTTGGGGAGTTTGGAGATATGGAAGTAGGGAAGTAGGGAAGTAGGAAGCACCTAGGGAAAGACAAGGTTCTCCAACAGGGGGTTAAATACGGAGAAAGGTAAGTCGCTTTTTCAGGTCCATTATTATTTCTTATCCCGTCACTTTTCGCAACTATTTTTTTCAGACTGGGATGCGCTAGTCCTAGTTGGTCTCTAGCTTAATAATGTCTAATCAGGCCAATCACCTCAAGGATCATAATCACCTCGATCACCCTTTATTGTTCCGGCCCAAGAACTACTGACTGAAGCTATTGTATCACCCCAATTCATAGCTACTAATATAAGAATGAAAAATTCTGTATAATAGCTGCTATACTAGAAGACTCTTATTACTAGAAGCAACTTCAGCAAATAAGAATAGGCACATCCTTACGAGACTAATACTATAAAGGCTTGGGCGTCAATAAAACTTGAGGAACTGTACTGGCGAGACCCTAGCTTGATTTATAGTAAGTACACTTACGATTCATACAAATGGAAATCTTTAGTTCCATGGGACATTTCCATGAGGATCGAATGTCGGTGACTTTGAAAGATTCTCTTATACCCCGCATATATGACATAGGCCAATTGTGTGTATTTCATAATCAGCAAAACGAGTCGGAAGTTATGGATCGTGATGTCTTGGGCGACTATAACTCGTGTGTACTATGTATGTATGTAATTATCGATACTGCCTCGATTGATATTAGAGAAGGCTCTTAAAATGCTGCTATACTATTCAGAAGTGGATTACGGAAGCTTGTCAGTCCATATAGGCATAGCTAGCTGTACGAGAGTAGCTTTTTCGACCAAAATAACAATTTTAGCTTTCTGGGGTTTGTTAACAGGCGAAGCTCCGAATGGCGAATAGCCCTCCTCCCATGTCAGGACAAGACTCCTCAAACACATGGGCTGCCTGGCATAACATGGTGGTGGAGTGGAGTCGTTACATATAATGAAAACAAATTTCTTGAGGGCAAAGCCATGATTCGCCATCGTGCCGGATCTCGCAAGGCCCGCCCCAGGAGGAGAAAGTCCAGTACCACCAGACCCCTCATATCCTGCTAAGCCTCAAAGCTCTTTAGCCAACATGATGATTCTCTTGAGGATTGCAAATACTTGTACACCCTGCCTACCTACTTGCATGTAACCTGACAATCCGGCACTTACCCTCAATGATTAACATATTCGACGTCGGAAAGGACTACGGAATAAAGCCTCAGCCTACTCTGGGGGAACTGTGATTGCCCTGCTTCATGAATCATGACATACGGAGGCGCAAAAACCTCCTATGTTCCGCGGTTGAGTTTGATAGAAGGTTATTAGGATTGGTACCCAGTATGTTAGTGTTGCATTCCAATACTAATCAAATGGGATGCCCCTTTCAGCTGGATAGTTATAGAATGACTGTTCTATATCCAAATCGGGATGGAAATGGAATTAAACTCGTACGAAAAGAGCACTAGGTTTGATAGTATGAGCTATAACCAAGGCACTAATTCGCATAAATTCTATATCATTCTAACCTGATCCTCAAGCATCGCAATTCTAGAGCATGCTCTGGAATCAATTTTCGACACTATAATGACAATCTATACACCAGGAAAGAGGAAACCATATGCTATTAACAATTTCCAGACCAGCTGATCGATTGTTTTATCCTCAAAATTTTGATACGTATGTACGTACATATAGACATTGAACATTTAGTCGTGATGATCAAATCGTAAATGATTGATTTTGAGTTATGAAAACTTACGGTGATCCTGGCAACTTTTGGATTTTCAGAGTAGATTTTAACCATTCGGCATGCTTCAATCTCCCTTGTCTCGCGGATGCGTGCCGTCTACACGAGAATATAACCTTGTCCCTCGAGGGGTACATGGATCATTTGCGAGGCGCAAAATGTGTGAAAGGCTAGCTTAGTGAGCGTACCTAATGGGAATAAATAAATGCAAAAGTAGGATACAGTTTTCTGACATCAGGAAAATGGTCTTTTACGATATCGAATCAAGCTATCTTGCTTGGCAGTGTCGCCGAAAGCCTTGAACAGAGCCAGGAGTATCACAACTTTGAAGCTTTTTATGTTGTACAATTAAATGGAAGTAATTGGTCATCTACTTGTCGTCAAAAGTATGATATATGAGTATGTGCAGTTATGTAACCATTCATTGGTTGTTCTCATCTAGATGGGTAGATACTACAGTGCTGCAGGAACACATGAATTGTGCACAAATCAAAATGAAACTACTTAATAGGTTCATGTCTATCACCAACATGAATCACATATTCCCATATCTAAAAGGACTCCACCCATCACCCATTATCACGTTTCCGCTGACGAACTATGTTCTCGACGAGGTTAATCCTCATATTTTTGATCGCCAATCTAGATGGAGTTAGGGGAGATACAGCTGGGTAGCTCCCTGAAGGTATAAGTTTAGACAGAAGAGGAGAATTAATCTTGATATATCTTCTTCACTCACTAACTCACAGCACTGAGAGATTATCGATGGAATATGTAATATGTATCGGTGTGCCGAGTACCAAAATGTGAAACATATAGCATTGCATATGCACGTATTTAACCTTGATTTGAGACCGTACGCGGGGCAATGCACTCCGTACATAATGTTCTTTATTTAAATCAAAAACGGCCGAAATGAGATTTTCACCAGCATTACATTTCCATATTCTACCTACAAACAACGGTTTTGGTACTGGAAATGGATAAGTGGGTCTATCACGGGGTTTATGTCAGGGCACACCTGAAACAGCCTTCGAAAAACTCTCAGACTCTCTTGTACATGGGCATACATCCTAATGCGGCATTATCACGCCATTTTGCATTCTGAATTGAGTTGTTTATCCCGTTATTCATCCTGGAACTGTTGGGAAAGGGAAACTTATCGTGATATGCCTTCCTGATGGTACCTGAGACGAGGAAGATCTCCAGGAAGCGCCATGAGGCGACGTGAACTGCTTCATTACCTGGCAGGATATTTGTTTCTTCTCGACTGAATTCACTTTGGTCTACTGGACGGCATGCTTCCTTGTCTTTAAGCTTTAGACCCTCGACGAGTGGCTGTTTGTGGATCTTTGATGAATTCAAATCATCTTACACAGTCTATCAATACATAGGGGCGTATATACAACGCGGCATTTACCTGGTTTAGATACACTTATGTATTTAGTCCTCGGATTCGAAACACGCGATACAACATAGTTTGTATCAAAAGTCTTTGGACATTCTTTGGACAGTTGATAAGTAACGGTCATCTGAAAGTTCTAGCTTCAAAGTTGCCCTCACCGTCGCCGCAAGTCTGCAAAGCCACAGGCCAAGTGTTCATGAGGTCAAATATGGCATTCGAATCCATGTGAAAAGGAAACCTTCAAACAGAGGTCAATGGCCGGCCACATTGGCATCACTCAACTACATTGAGGCACCGATCACATAACCGAGGACGAGCTAGTGCAAGTACAATCATGAAGCTTAAATATGGTAAATCACGCCTCGGTCATCTTATATTTCAAATGACAAGTATGTACCGTGGACATTCATACTTTCGTTCTGACTCTTTACATCAAAGCTCGAACAGCCTTGCCAACAGCCTCCTATGGATTGCGGGATGTAAGTCTTGCGACTCGCTAGGCACGCCAGAAGTTGAAATGCATAAAGTGCCATTCTTAATCATGCCACAGAAAATGATCGTCGAGTGCGAGCTTCACTCGGTAACCTCACTGCCGGATGTGCCCCCTTTTCTCATTTCCTTAGCAATTACAACCCCATTTTTAAGCCAATAATGCCACATTCCGCGAACAATGACTTCATTAAATCATACAAAATCGGTACGCATTGACCGCCTTTTCACCGGTTCAGAGTATTGCAACACTGATATTATACTGAGTATCTATGTTGTATCCTCGGTCTTTTCCGATACACCTCCCATACTTTCATTCCACGGGCAACATTCAATTCAAATTTTTGATCTTCTCGGCTTACATCGGGATATTTTTCTTTAGTTCATGCATGCGGACGAAGTGCATTATCTTCAATCCTTATACCATGCACATGCAGAAGAGTTTTTAGGAGACCCCATCTAAGAAAAAGGAAAACATACTGCATGACCTAAAGATTTTTCGACTTCTAATACCACGGTGGCACGGTGTGAATGGATTCAAAGAAATCACCCACTGACTGCCGTACTTAAAATCATATACATATCCTGGCATCTTTATGTTATTGCAATTGAGTGAGGGGCACATGATAGCTACCGCATGTCGATCAAAGGACGTGCATCGCATGAGTCCAGCCAAAATATTCAGGGGTAAAATGCTAAGATTAGGGCAAATGAAAAGCATTTGCGGGGCAGTTTCTCTCATGAACCTAATAATATCTCGCGAGATATTAAAAGTGTTGATCGAGATTCAAGAGTAAACAAATCTTATAGACGAATCTTATCTAAGGTTGCGACTCGAGTCAATCATTCTTGAGATGACCCTCGCTTATGATTCCTAATCAGCATTGCGAAACACCTCTTCAAGTGCCATGGATTGAATTGAATGCCGGGCGATACAACCAAATATCCTCCTTCAATTTCCTCACGCTATGATACTAGATTTGATGATAATGAACGATACATCAAAACATCTACCGACTGATGTGCCATTGGAAATTCCCTCAAATCACTCATTTCATAGGGGGTGATATAAGTTTGAAAGCATCAGACAACTTCTATACTTACACTTTTACTTACAAGGTCAAGTCTGCAGTGGGTCACAGCCGTAAACACAAGCCGGAAGTCGTGAGAGACATATCCGGGGAAAGCTTATGTATGACCAAGAAAGAGTTTCCCAAAAGAAAATAATAAACAACCACTTGCCACATCAAGTATCTGCGGGGTAATGATTCATCATTTAACATACCATTAATGTTGCTTTTTTGGCTTTCTTTTTATTATCACTCTTCTTCTTGTGCATAATCAAGATTTACAGAGATAAGAACTGTGCTGGAATGAACATAACCCACGATATCCACAAGAGCGGCAGCGAACATTGAATAGGTACTAAAGCCGTCTTATACAACGTTCTTTTTTTGCTTTTCACTATCACATCACTGCAGTACGCATCAACTATCTATTCACCACTTTTCAGACCTGAGTTCTCCAAAACTTTTTCCAATAGTCGGATACACAATTGTCGGGTACACAAGTGTTGATCCAATGACGTTGTTTCGGCAGCTATTTGTAATCTCAAACGCTTATTATTCAAATTTCAAAGAATCTCTCCGATGCTCAAACCAGAATTCGATTTTGATACTTGATTACCTTGTAGAGCTACTCGAGGAGTCCGGAGTGTGATTGGCTCGCTTTGCATGGATCCGGATTAATTAATATAGTGTACCTACATATACTCCGTACTCCGTACATACATTTTTTAATTTCCGACCTGCAACAACAGACTTGGAATCTTGGTGCATACCTCACTGCGTAAATCAATTCAGAAACCCCTTGGAAACATGAACTCGATGGGGGTTATATGATAGTTTTTCAGACTGGTAATCAATAATGCATACTAAAGCACTTTACAAACTTTCAACTATTCTGTATAGGTATTAATTACTCTATATATTATTGAACATATACCTCCCACTTTCATTTTTTTTTTTAAATATTCCCCTGTTGAGCTATTTAGCCGACCAATGATATCTATTCTATTCTGAACCTCGGTTTTATCTCTGCATCTATGTTCGACCTACTCCGTACTTATCTAACCCTTCACAAACCTCTAACCTACAGTGCGTTTAGAACATCTTTGGTTACAAATTTGTTATTCCCAGGTAACTGCAGTTCAATGTTGTGTCTCACACCGCTACATTGTCATACCTAATCCCATTCGACCATTGTCCAGTGATACGGTCGCCTAATGCTTGTATCTCCTTACAACAAATTACTCCCCTTCATTTGGTTTCCTCTAAGATTTTTCTGGATATGAGCCTGATGCCGTACACATGGACGCCACAGTTACACGGATTCGAGCACCTGCATCCTTCCCGTGCCTGAATACCAACCTTCGGTAGCGAATCTTGCACAACACGGCCCGGTACGGTCAAGATTGTCTTTCCCGTTTGATTGCGCTTCTCCTTTTGTCTGCTTATCTTACGGGGCTCGACAAATCAAACGCTGGATGTATTATTTTGTCACTTCACATATTGGGCTCAGCGAGATCGTGGGCACTTCCCTTCGCGCGAGGAAGTGAAAGGGGATATGAATTGTTTGGAACCGAGAACTGATACAGGACGTAAGATTACATACTTCTGTTTTCTTTCGCTAGAGGAAACAATCTCGTGGCCTGAAATACATACATATTAAATATCAGGCCAACTTCTAGGTATGCTAATCAGCCCCCCACTTATGCCGAAAGGCGGGAAGCAAGTGCTCAGGCATTCGCTACATCATCACATCCATCACATCTATCACATGACCACTTGTGAAAAACCTCAATAGTTATCTTTTCAACATCACAAATGTCTCACAGACATATCCACTTTTGCGTTTTCGTCAATTCAGCAACTTTAAGCGTGCGGTGTCGCCTTTACTTGTCAATATTCCAAGCTGTACCTTGCATTTTAACTGCTGTACCTGCTTCCGACTAATCTTCCTTTTTTCCTTCCCCCGAATTCTTTGAGTCATTGTACACATGCATAAAAGGCAGTTGTCTTCCGATTCATGGACTTAGCACGTCACTAGCAGTACAATACAGTCTTCTATCCTCCATGGGGTTGTTTGCCCAACGAGCCATACTAGTCAACTCTGCATGTCATTTTATAATATAAAGTGCTACATATCCACTTGATTTTATGTTTACATCTTTAATCATATCTGATGTTAGCTATGGATCGCAGCTAAGAAAAGTTCTAGCTTCTCAAACTATTCAGAAAATCCGTGTCATCACGCCTTGACCTCGCTTCTTTTGCCTTGATTTGTGACTCCGTCTAAAACACACAGACGTTTAAGATCGTGCAGCTTTTACAGCTTTACAGGTTTACAAAAACCCCTGAAAACTGTAAGTGACTTATCACCGACGCCATTGCACTGACGTACGATGAGGTGAACCGTCCTTCATGTCCCTCCAATTTCCACTCCATGTACCTTTTCCATACATCTCAACCCCCAAAATAGCAATATCGTCACTAATACAGCTCTTAGACCACGCCGACCATACCATATCAGCATAGTCATCGACTCAGAATTTAAGAATAGGATCAACAACCAGTCCAACAGCTAGTTATATGCACCTCGAGTTCTCGAGCCCCGGTGCCTCCGCAACGCTTTATTTGTGGCGAACTGCACGCACGTTTTCCTCACGGCGTGAACTGCTAAAATCATGTCTATCAATAGCATTTCGAGAAACCTTTAGCAACTTACCTGCATTGTATTACATATTATGTTGCGTTGATCAAACATATATTTTCCGAAGCTCCGAACGACACGGTATTCCGATGTCAGTGGAAAAATGTCGTTAGATTCTCGAACAATGAATGTACCTTGAAACGTGAGGTGTTGTCTTCCCCGTGTATCGCCACTTGATGCCAGTTCCAGACAATACTCGAGCTTTTTCGAAAAGCTACTTGACATCACTACATGGAGCCTCAAAAACCCACAAATGTACTTTACTTGCTGTCCAGGATCCAGCGAAAGTTCTGTGAAATTTAATATAAATCCTAGACAATGATCCTCACCCCACGATCCAGCCAGGACCAACTTCCGCCACCATGACATGCAAAGGCAAACTCTAAGCTATTAAGAAAGCCCTCGTATTAGATGCTCTCCACCCGATCCAGTATCCATGCTGAACCTTGAGTTGAAAAGTGGAAGTACCAGAATCTCCCCTCGCCCCAGGACTCCGCTGTTAGAGTTCTCGCAATTCCAATTATGCCCCTCTGCCTCGGTTATAAACACCTTCAAAGTTTGCCACCAGTGACTGCAGGTTATCAAAGCATCTCGCCTATTCTGCTAAGCCTTTTCAAGGCCCGTAACGTGGATACCCCTGAAGCCAGTGTAGTCACCATTGTCTGTATAGTAACTAGAAAGTGAATCTAGAGCAGGTCGAAAACAGTTCCATCAATGGCTCGAACACCCAAAATCTAATTTCCCTTCTATCTTTCATCTTTCTACTTCGTGTCTTAGCTACAGCCACAGCACAATAGTGTCAATCACCATATCCAAGTTCCACACAATTTTGGCATCAACGCCCTATGTTTCATCAGGATCTTGCCTGTGCTTGGGTCATTAGCGTTCTGTATTTGCCATATGAGTTCTTGAATTACATCATCCGAGGTTTGCCCGTACCCGTATCTCTAGATCGTCTTTCCAGTCTTCTAGTCTTTTGGCTAGCTACTTTCCAAATTTCTTCTCAAATACTAACCATTACAAATTCGGAGATGATCTCAATTAGATTTAAAAGTTCGAAAGTCACTCTAACCTCATACATAAGGTTTTTTTCCGTAGTCTCTCCTAAGCAAACTTGCGAACTAATGTGGACAACCTCATCTTACTCTTATCTAACTTTTAGTAGCTCTAATGCAACACACCAAGTTTCTCCTTAAACATAATGATCACCAGCAAAGCTTTAACAATCAACAAATTATGGTACGTTTACTTCCATGTACCCACTCTGATCAATTAGACATCATGATTTACCACTAGAGAAACTCAGTTTAACTTTACCCGGAAAATCCTGACGATATTCCCGGTCACCGCGCAGATCCCTGGCGCAGATCATACCCTTGACAATTCATCATCTCCATTCCTTCAGCCAATTAATAGGACACCCATACCCACCTGATGCACACCCAAATTCCAATATCCACCCATATCTTATTAGCACGGCTGGGCATCTACCGAAAAATTGACTCTTTTCCCATCCCTACCCTCACTACTCCGTACACCTGACTAAGAGTTCTAAATGGAAGAAGACAGCTAAAACTTCTCTCTAGTCCCCATACGCACTGTCTAGTAGATCTCGGATTATTTCACCACCAGAAGTATTGTCATCTTACGATTCGTGCCATAAGGATACCCTAGATGACTGGCTTGAGAAGCGATGCTGAAATATCCACGCTAGAATCACGGGAGATTATGTCCGACTGGTATATGGGTTTTCTAGAGTGTACAGATAGATGCATGCATGCAATGCGTTTACGGACACTACCTATCGCATCCACGTTGCTCGTAGTATCATGCGTGCGGCACGAGGCGAGGAGAGCCGTGTGAATTCATCGAACGATATCTTGCTGTGGACTTCGTCATCATTACTCGAGTATCATCGAATTCTACTAGTCCACATTTTGACGTGATGCGAATCAAACAGCATGAAGTGGCGGCGAGAGACGGCTTGCTGCATTTCTTGTCTTTGCGATTGGAGACGAGATTCGGTGGCATCGTACAGGGAGATACCCATCGTGTGCAACAGCCAGCCACTGAATGTCATCTTTTTACAAGGCAGATAGAGCTCTGATGCTAGCCTCTACAAAGCCGATAAAGGTCTGATACTAGCCTCAATACTTACGCAGGTACGTATATCTAGGTACAGGACAAAGTTGTTTAGTGAAATGTTTCTCTCAACGCACCATCAGGGGGTCCATTTTCCTCTGTGCGCGAGTCGAAAACCGGAGGTAAAGTTGAGCCGTGACAGGAATATCCTAATTCCCACGTCCTGGATGATCCATTGACGTTCTCTACAAAATGCCAAATTAAAGGGCCAAATGTACTCCACCGACAGTTGTTGCGCCGAGCGGAAACTACTTAAGATTCCATAGATAGTTCGCATTCGGCGTGCTCGGGATTGTTGGTAGAGATTTTCTCAAGGACCCTTAAAACCCACAGACGATTTGAGCACGAGGTCGCGTTCGAGTAAGTGCTCGAATTGCACCCGCACGGAGATTTTACTTTTGTGGGAGATGGATATGTTCATGGCAATTTAATATCGATAGGTACATTCAATTTTCTGATCTCCTCAATGGATCTTGCTTGTAAGATCTTACACATCTGCCGAATTTGTGCCTTTGGAAGTTTTAGCTTGAAAACCTCTTCTTCTTGATTTGTATTTCACAAATCATTCGAAACCATCGTGTTTTGCCAAGAGCCTCCTCTCATTGTGACATATTCAGCTTGCCAAGCTGAGTATCCTGAGTGGGTGTGCCAGCAGACAGACATGAACTAGTCAAAGTAACCCGCGACTCCTATTGGAATGCCGGAGGCCGAGAAGCCGAGCATAGCTTACCATCTAAATCTACTTCATGTAGGTTTGCTGCTAGCAATCGAGAAGCCTGCCCAGCTAGTTTTGGGCTGTTACATCGATTGATGATCCATACAAATCTGAAGGTGTTGTCGGTGAAAGTTCTCGGCAGATTTGATCCTCTATTCGAAGAAGACTTTCATTGATTGGATGGATGCATTGCTTCTTACACATACTACTGTTCTTACCTACTCCGAGTGTATCTTCATATTTCGCATTCAGATGTTTTTGGCCTATGAGGATGGATTTTATGGCATGCGGCTGTTCCTGTATCATCTATCTATATTGTAATTAGTCTGCGTTTCAATAATGAAATGATGACATTCTGTATCATTCCTACGTTGCAGAAGGGAATTACAATCTAAACCGATGTAAACACGATGTCATGTCATCACATTCAAAAAAATTTCTAGCAGTCTCCTATATACGAATGCGCAGAATTCAGAGTTCTAGTCACACACACGTTCTTCAGAGGTCACACAATATTTGTTTATCCTCAATACCTACTCGAATAAACCATCATATTCAAGAATCAGCCTTCCCTCCCCATATTCATTCACAAAACATCTCAATGGCTTCCAGTGTACCCAATACAATAATTAACCACCTATTAAATTGCCCAGCGCAGCACAGCACAGCACAAAAAAGAAATATACCCATTCCCCTGGTATCACAGCCAAGAAACCCATATTCCCCAAAATCCCACCACAATATACGTGCTCGCAATAAAATCATTCGTTTGGTAACAATCAATGAATGATCCAGCAGCATATAATATAATATAATATAATTAACATATATCTAAAATTACCCACGATATGATTAAAACATCGGTAACATCGGCAGGATCAATCAATCAGTATCTACCTAAATCTTACCCCCGAGCAAAAATCGCATATTGTATGTATATATGTATATATGTAGTGTAACAACACATACGAAAAAAAGTAATCATGTAATCATGCTTGTGTTTCTCTGTATACCATACACACACTTGCGCAGCTATGTAGCTATATAGCTGCCTGTATGTTAGATAAGACCTTTACGGAGTATATCGTCGGCCGAGGAAAGCCTTGGGCGCCACGACTTTCTGTGTTCGTTCGTAGATTTGTGCGGCTGGATTTTTTGGCGTCGCGAGTATGTCGGTAGTTGGTTTTGAGTGGTTGGTTGGGATGTGTTTTGTTTGTTTGTGGTTTTTTGGATGAGGTATTGGGGAAAGGATTTGGGATTTTGAGATGTTTATGTATTGGGATTGAGTGAAAGAATTAATATATTTTTGTTTTTGTAGGTATGATTTGATTGATTGATTAATTGAGTTTTTTATGTATTTACTTATTTATTTGTCTATTAACTAATAATAACAAATATCACCAAACCCCGAAATCAATCAAGTCAAGAAAGTTTCAACTCAATCAGCATCTAGTCTTCAAACCAAACAAAAAGCAAAACGATTCCACAAACACTGGACCTAGGTTATGTTATGTTACACCAAATTATAATCACTGGTGAATCTAATCATCTAGATAACCGCTACAATCTATATCCAACGGCAACAAGGTCCTGGGTCGCGGAAAGATTTTCTTTTTATCTCTCTCGGGGGTTATAGGTAGCCTGGTTTGTGTTTGATTTCTATCTGTCGATTGTGATATGTGATGTGATATGTGATATGTGATATATGGTGTTTGGTAATACGTGTGCATCTATCCGTCCCGCGTATTATGGTACAGTCTACGGTCTGCAGGCTCGCGGCAGAGCTTGGAGGGGTGTTGGGGTTTGGTGTGGTCTTGTTTGGTGTGATATGGAAGATTTTCTTGGGAATTTGGGGATTGATGGACGATGGACGATGAAATGGAAATTGGAATAAGAATTCGTGGGGGTTGATTGGGTTAGAGAGGTATAGTGAGGGACAAGGAGTGCTGTTAAGTATGAGATGATAGATGGATGATATGTTATTTTGTACAAAGCTGTCGCATAAAATCGTAGCTTGGATTTGCAAGTTACGTCTACGAAAAAAATCCCCTACAAAACATATCAATTCCACTCATTCCCGTAAAAGAAAACCTTGCGAAAAATTCTCCCATCTTTTCCTAAATTTACATCTAAACGCTGACTGCTTTGCTTTACTTTGCTCTTTCCCAATCTTGATTTCGTTTTTCCTTTTTAGTTTTTGATTCCATCTTCCCGCAACAGAGACTCGCATATTCGCATCACATCCATTCAAACCATATATATTCCCAATTTAGCATAAGTTTTTCCTTCCAACCACAAAAATCGGAAAGATAAAGATAAAGTATAGCGTTTTCCGAGAATACGCATGACTGGGTTCTAGGGGTATGGATTAATACTGGTATCCTGGAGATTACCAATGGTGTTAAAATGTTCCATGTGTGTATATATGTCTTTTATTACCTAGGTACCAACAGTTGGGAAATGGGAACTCGGGTTCTGAAATTCCGAGATGCGAGGAGCGGGAGGGGGGTGAGATGTAAGATTTGATATGTGCGATGGGAGAGGGATGAGGGTGTGATGATGAGGTGCGATTTTGGATTGGATGTCGAATTGCTTGGGATTGAGATCGCGCTCCGAGTGGAAGTGTGAGTGAGAGTGGAAGTTGATAATTGTATCGCCGAGCATACTTGTAGGTTAATAGATACCATGGAGAATGTGTTAGGATATAAGTTCTATTAGGTATAGTTGGTATATTCGATATACTTCCCTCCTTACAAGTCGATCTACTAATCTGACATAATATCCCCTTCGGCGGGAATGTAATCGCCGTCTCCAATTCCCCATTCGCTATTATTTTTCTCATAGATATACTTTCCTTCCTGTTGAGTTTATCCCTATTTTTTACTCTCATATCTTTTTGAAAAGAAGAAAAAAAAAGCAAAGAAAAACCGTTGTTATGGTAAGGAGAAATGAGAATTCGGACTCTTGGAAGGGAAGTGGTCCCCGATACTGGGAATATTAATGAAGTTGGTCCCCGGTTTTGGGACGGTTTATGTTTTTTCTTTTTTCTGAGTATTCGTTTTTTTTTTTACTTATTCCTCGTTTTTGTTACTAGGTTCTGTCTTGGTAGGATCTAGTGGTTGCTTCTAATATCTAGGTAGTCTTGATAGATTTGTATCCTTTTCATAGCTTGATTGTCAATATCGCTTTTGCTGTTTGGATATTTTTCGAATTAAAAATATATGGAATATGTTATCTGCTATTTCCTTCTATAATCTTAGCTATTCAAATTATATATCAGTTAAGTATCTGAAGTATCATAATAATAAAATAGAAGTATTCTAGCTCAGAACACAGAAGAGATTCAAATTAGTTTTTTATTTATATCCTACTTTATTCTGTTGATTCATTGCTATTAGTTAGTGATGGAATGGAGCGATATCCATCTAATTCATCCATAGAATAAGAATAGCTTTCTATATCGTCTATAATGGTAAAGTTACTGGATTGAGGATGAGGATGAGGAAGTACATCCATATGGTTTATTATAGAGAATCTATTCTGAACTCCAAATAAATGGGCATTTGTAATGTGTTGAGGGGGAAAGCGAGTAGTCACTATTCATGTTGCGTTATTCCACTCATACTTTATTCCACTCACATCATACTATATCACATCATCCCACCTCAACAACAAACAACCAGTCCTAGTCCCTAGCCCCTAGCCCTCCCCCCCAAAAAGCCAAAGAGCCAGCGAATACAAAGCCCACCAACAACCCCCCCTAAACATCTCCCCTAGCTGAAATTCTCACATAACTCCCTCCAGCACATGTGCATCCACACTCACCCCCCAAAAATCGCCATCTCACAACCCAAATAAAGCACTTCCCAAAAGATAGAAACAAGGTCAAAATATCCCATCCCCAGCCCTATAGGACCCAAAAAGAAAGCAAGATCATACATAAAACCAACATTAACATTCAGGAAAAATCAATATTAAGACACACATACTTACACACTTACATACATCCACAATCCCTTCTTACGAAAGTGATGAGAAATCTGCAATTTTCGCTTTTTAGGTTCTTTTAGATTTGATTTCATGTTTTTGCTGGTAAATTGTAATTATACATTGTTATACTTTCATAGGATAGGTATTTACAAATCTGAATATTAAATCTTCCGCCTACTTCGAGTGAACAGGAAAGATATTCTGGAATACTAGAATACTGTATATACTCTTTCATTATAGTTCCTGATCAATAAATACGATTTATTAATTCGTTGGAGAGGAATAGGGGATAGGAGATATATTCTTGAGTTTATCAGCCGGTAAGTAAGACTTGATAAAGATGATTTCGAAACGGAATTTATAATTAGCAAATTCTCCTTAGATTCCTACTGACTGAGTTCTTTCACTACCTAACCTCGAGAATTCGGCTTTTCATATTATGCCAGTGGTAGAAAAGAAAAATGTAGGTTTAATTTAATTCAGTTGAGTACTTTGCGCAAGCATATTATTGAGAATAAATTCAGCAAGTAAATACCAGGTAAATTGCTAAAATCCACAAACAAAAAAAAAAAAATGCAGATTAAATTAATGCGGGAGATTTGGTGATGTGAATTTCAAGAGCTGCAAATGATAGATCGACCGAGAGATTTTATGAGAGGCTTCCTGATGACCTGTTGTATAAGAATAATACCGATGAATTGCTTTCTTGCATGCTGCTTGGACAAATGAGAAATATGCGATGAAGGGCATGAAATGAAAGCAGGAAAGGAATTGCCAACTTCATACTAAAACGACGAAATAATATTGACCTCCCTTTAAAGAACGTTCGAGCAATGAATGATTGCTTCAAAGTAGAAGAATCAGAGATCAAATTGTCCCTGGCGAGGAGGAACATTCAGAACCAACGCAATGCTGAGGCAATGCACCGCTCATCACTCCTCCAGATTGCCGCCGGTGATTATTGGCTAACCTTTCATCTGAATCCATCACCCTGCACCACCCCATCTCGATAGCTTTCTCCTCGTTGTTAAATATCTCCTCAAACTTGTCTTTAATCACAATTAGTTCGCTTCTCACCCTTGTTCTCAAAGCAGCCCTCGCTAGCTGCTGTGTCCTATCTTCTTTGAACCAATCCTCATGATCATCCGATGTCGCAAAAATGCTTCCAAAAACATCTACGTCGAGAATAATTCTTCTCCCATTATCTTTCTTCACCACAACCCTCAGCTTCTTGCAGACCAGCTTCATAATAGCACTCATAATCTCTCCACCATCCCACAGAAAATCCGAAAAAGTTATAGCATTATCTTCAAATCCCAGAGCTGTAGAGCTGAATCCAACCTTCTTCGGTGTCAACACGATAGTAAAAGTCTCTAGTACTGGCTTTGCTATTGCCAAAGTGTTAATGCTTTTCGCCGCCTTGTGATACCAGTCCAGATTCCAATTGTCTTTCGGACACTCAAATATCACGTTTCTCACCAAATTCAAATAGACAGTTGGAATTCTCGGAATGTTCCAAGCAGGGCGCCCTGATTTGTTTTCTCGAAGGAGTGCATGGAAAGTGTTGTTTTTGTAGAGAAATGACAGAGCTTCGGCACTGATTTGCTTACAAATAAACAATATTTTTTTGACAACGAAGCTGGGGCAGCGCTCGACAGCTTCCCAATCATAATTCATGAGGATTGAGTTTCGGGATCGAAGAAAATATCCATAGATATGCTCACGGATGTCTAAAGGGTATCGTAGGAATGGAGAGCGACTTGGACAATCTATTTCTACTGGCTCGGGCGTGGTTTCAAAATTGCGAAGTCCTGGGAAACGATTGAAGAAACCTGCATGATTACGACTGACTCCTAATTGTTGCTTGAAAGTAAATGCTTTTTGCTTGCGCTTTGGGGCTGCAATGGTTGTAGAACTGGGGATTCCCCATGTATTATGCGAGTGGGAATTAATGCCGAAGCTGGTAGTGAATTTGCTCAGATCATCATCTTCGTCGTCGATTTGAAGAGATGCCAATGTGACCCGAGGGCAACGACGTTTGCGTGATGCAATAGAAGTCTTACTTCCAACGATGTTACCATTTATGTCACGATCGTTGGGAAGGGGCCTTTTGCGTGGCTTGGATGCTTTTCTCTTGGGTCCCTCAGTGGTAGGTTTCGGCATATTTGATAATGGCATTGCGGTGATCGGCGGGTCCGTCAAGCTCCCCGTTTCTTTAAAAGTACGAGATTATTCTAGACAATGAATTGAAAAAGATACTGAAGTATTTCTTCGAGTGAACGTTTCGACAACGACGAGATGAAAGTCAAACGATTCGACGTTGAAATGTGAATTTAGTAATTGCTGACGAAACGGAGTGCTAGTGGGAAGGAAATTTGAGGAGACAGCGTTAAATCAGTCCTCTGATTCTACTGCCAGTTATTGACTAGAGTAGAGCAATGGGAAATAACGATGGGAAAGTAAAGTGGTTGGAAGCTGAAGAAAATCGTTCTTAATAGGCTTGAAAATAGTGGAAGCTTGGATGACTCTTTCGTCTGAAATGCAACTGAAAAGAGACTGTGAAAGGTGAGCATTCAAACACATGTCATGTGAATGGTAGTGAAGTCAATCCTTCCCATGAAGTATATGATTTAGAGCAGTATAGTAAGAGGCCTGTAAGAAGATTGCTGTTGAACATTTCTGGTAGATGGAGAAAAATGTTGTGGAAGAGTATATAACAAAATTGCGAGGAGAAACTCATGGCTTAGTAGAGGACCTCATTGGCTATCCAAAGTAGTCAAAATCCTATGGTAGTCGCGACGGAGCCATGGCATATGAAGCTTCGAGTATTTCCATACTATTTGAGGAAGAAACGGCATTGTCTTACTCTTTGAGGACTGAGGATTGAGAACTACTAGAGAGTACGGAGAAATTGAAGGCATTCTGTTTCATCTCCTGTGAATCTAATGTATATACTGCATACAAATAATGTTTTTCGACATAGATATATATGGGAGGTGAATCATAACTTCTTGAATATATGCGAGAGAGCTTTGAGCTTCAAGGTCAACTTGACTCGAGTACCTAGGTTTGCTACCTATTATTCTATTATAACACACAAATCATAGAGAAACAAACGAAACGAAACCAAATCCTAAACAGCCAGTGAACCTACGATGATGTCGAAGATCAACGACCAACGGTACCTACCAGTAGCTGGCCGACATAAGGACTTCAACACCAATATTGGGTGTGTAGCCACGATAAAGAGTTCAGACCCGAGATGCGTGATATATGCGTTGGCGACACGGGCGAAGCTATGTCAGACAACAGCTTCAAGCACAAGGTTGCTCCATTTCAAGAGAGTAATGAGATATAAATAGAATCTACTTAATATAATGAAGATATAAATGTCGAACTCGTTACTCGACTCTGTGGATGCGAACAATAATAAAAGGAGATGATGGGGAATTTTTGATGAGTAATTGATCAAGTATCATGGGCCAAGATACTTTTCTCATCCACCCAAATCCCAGCTCTTCAGGGGTCATCATTCTGTAATTACAGGCTCTTTTATCCTATTGGATCACAACATTTTAGAGCTGTTAAGTGACACGAGGTACCTAGTAAACTCTAGCAAAACCCTAGTAAACCCCCTTGTCTCCGCGGTCCCCCAGATGGAAAGATAACTTCTATTCTTTCTGGAATAATAAATTAGCCTCCAAAAAGTACAGAGTAGCCCGTCCAATAATGGATCCTTCTGCGACCGGCCCTCGATTCGATTCTTCATCTTTCTTCTTACTGCATCATCATTATTATTAGTATATTACATGTAAGTCTGACTACTTAATGCTTCCTGTTATCAATAAGTGATATATTTATTGCGCCATGCCTGCCTTTTGAGCGAATCGAACAAAGCACATTTCATCCGGACCTGATTGTGTGGTGGGACAAATACAAAGAGGTCCCTCGGTGATCCCCTCGAAATAAAACAACATTCACGATCCAGCTCGAGTACAACTACAAAATCACTTCTTGTAATTACACCTTCAAGTTCTGAAAGTACTCGCAGTCCTTCGACTTCACCCACTTCCCGTATGCCTGCGCGCGACAGCACCTCGATGGAGACCGATCGAGTTACGATAATCAGCGACAATATGGAGAAAGCGAGTATCAATGGCTCGAATAATGGAAAAAAGAGGACTCCCATGGTTAGGAAACAGTCTTCACCTATGATGCCACCGTTTATGGTATCAGCTCCAGGAAAGGTTATTGTCTTTGGAGAACATGCGGTCGTACATGGGAAGGTGGGTATCATTGCTCTAGAGGTGCGATTTTGATTCTAATGATAGAGATAGCCTGCCATTGCTGCCGCGATTTCACTTCGATCATACCTTCTCGTCACTGCGCTTTCAAAATCGAAGCGAACAATCTCTCTTCGTTTTCCCGATATCAATCTCTCCCACACATGGAATATCGATGATCTGCCATGGAGCACCTTCTCCCATCCGTCGAAGAAGAAGTATTATTACGACCAGGTCACATCTTTAGATCCAGAACTGGTTGCAGCTATGAAACCACATTTAGAAAACATTTCCCCTGATGAATCACCTTCCATACGAAAGATACACCAGAGCTCTGCTTCTTCATTCTTATACATATTTCTGTCTCTTGGCTCACAATCGTTCCCCGGGTGCTTATATACATTACGCTCAACAATTCCAATTGGCGCAGGACTTGGTAGCAGTGCTTCAATATCTGTCTGTCTTTCTTCCGCACTCTTGTTACAGATTCGCACATTATCCGGACCGCATCCAGATCAACCCTCTAACGAGGCAAGCTTACAACTCGAGAGAATTAATCGCTGGGCATTTGTGGGAGAAATGTGTATTCATGGGAATCCATCCGGAGTGGACAATACAGTTTCAACGCAAGGAAAGGCGGTTATCTATCAAAAATTTCCCGAAGGGCCTACCGTGAAACCATTGAGGGATTTCCCCGAACTACCTCTACTTCTCGTAGATACACAACAAGCAAAATCTACAGCACATGAGGTTGCTAAAGTGGGTTTGTTGAAGGAGAAGCATCCAGCGATCGTAGATTCGATATTAGACGCCATTGATATGGTTGGTCAATCAGCGGCAGCTATGATTTCAGATCCAAACTATGATAGCGAAAATATCGAGTGTGTTGAGAGCTTGGGAAAATTAATGACAATAAATCATGGACTTCTTGTTTCTCTAGGAGTGTCCCATCCTCGACTAGAACGTATCCGGGAGCTAGTGGATCATGAAGGAATCGGCTGGACCAAGCTTACTGGTGCTGGAGGAGGAGGATGCTCCATTACATTATTGAAGCCAGACACCACACCAGAGAGAATGGCACGCTTAGAGGCAACATTGGAGAACGAGGGTTACAAGAAATTCGAAACTACACTGGGCTGTGATGGCGTTGGTGTTCTATGGCCCGCTGTAATTAGAAATGGGGAGGATGATGATTTCGGAGGAGATGAAATCGACCAAGAAAAGTTTCTCAACGCTGATGGCATAGAAGGAGTTGAGGAACTGGTTGGAGTTCACGGACAAAGTGGTGATAGGGAAGCTTGGAAGTTTTGGAGGGTGGAAGATTAGAAGCATTGGCGACAGCGCAATTCCTTCTTTTCGTTGTAAATTATGTTAATGTGTTACTTTATAATGGAACGGACAGTGTGGACAATAATGAAAAAGGAAATGTATATTACGATTAAAGAATTGGAACTGTCATTCTATTGTTCTTCACATTGTCAAATAGTTCTTTCTTCAGCCTGGCAGCTTTCCCGCACGAGGCTGACGCTAGCCGAGCTCGTCTTTTTGAAGCCTTTCAATGGGCCCATAGGTCTTCATTTTCGACTCCATAACAAAGGGCATATCGTAAGTTTTTCGAATCCAAAATCACTAAAACCTCGAAATGCTAATCTTTGGTTTTTGTGTTTGCAGAAGTTGGTTAAACTTTTATTGATTCCCCAGAGATCTTTAAGCTGAACACCAAGTCGACACTATTATCAGCGACCCGCTCGGAAGTAGAGCCTGTGGAGAAGGATAAGGTACCGGGAGATCGGGGGACGCAGAACAAGGACTGGGAAGGTTGCGCGAGTGTTATCCTGTGTAGGAGGCACTTTTGCTGAGAGAGATATCTCATTTGGCGAGCCATAGAACCTCGAAGGTATAACGACATACGTGCAAGGGAGTCAGTGATCGACTGCGACATCAGAGAAATAATGGGCATATACGAGAAGAACCCCATCTGGGATGATGTGATACCAATAGCACAGGATGATGGAGAGGGTGCTTTAGCACAAATCGCATATACAGATGAATACGCCGAGGGTGAGATTAAATACCCCTCACCCCCTTTTCTGAAGACTAACAATTTCCTAGCAATGGGATATCTCCGTGCCGTAATGGCAAGCAAAGAATACTCACCTCGCGTCCTCGAACTCACTGAACACATCATAACCCTCAACGCAGCTCATTATACCGTCTGGCTATATCGCGCCAATACTCTCTTTGCGCTTTCCTCCTCTGTTCCCGAAGAACTCGCCTTCGTAAATGAAATTGCGCTGGAAAATCAGAAGAATTATCAGATATGGCATCATCGACAACTCCTCATCGATTATCTTTACCCCTCTATTTCATCCTCCCCTGAATCCATCAAAGCGCTCGCAGATTCAGAACGAAGTTTCTTAACACAGATGTTCGATGAAGATGCGAAGAATTATCATGTTTGGAGTTATAGACAATATTTAGTTGTGAAATTGGATATGTTTAACGAGGCAGAATTGAAGAGTATAGAGGAATTAATAAGGAAAGATGTGCGAAATAATAGCGCATGGTCATATCGATTTTTTCTCGTGTTCTCGGATCCTAAATACTCGACGAAAGGATTGAGGGCAAATGAGTTTGATGAGAAGATTCCGAAGGTGATAGTAGATAGGGAAATTGACTACGCGAAAGCAGCTACATATAAGGCACCACAGAATCAGAGTTCGTGGAATTATCTTAAAGGGGTTGTGAGGAAAGGGGGTGTGAAGATGGAGAGTTTAGAGGAATTTGCGGAGGATTTTGTTAATCTGGGGGATGATGTGGATGGAAAGGGTGAGGATGTAAGGAGTAGTCATGCATTGGACTTTTTGGCAGATATTTGGGCTGAGAAGGGTGAATGGGAGAAGGCTGATAAAGCGCTTCAGTTACTAGGGGATAAGTATGATACGATTCGAAAAAATTATTGGGATTGGAGGAGGGTTTTATTGAAGGAGTTGAAGGGTTAGGATAGGATAGTGTGTTGAATACATAGGTATGAGTTGATATAAAATGGCTGGTGGTGAGCTAGAGAATGTATATTTACCTATTGCGTTGTTACTTGGGATGAACTTACTAGGTATACCGAGGTGAGGAAGGTGCTTTAATAAAAGTAAGTTGCACAGACATACAGACAAAATGCTCTTGTGAATGAATGAGTACTCCGTACAAGTACCTACATAGATCTCTCAAATGGTGATAATGCCAAATATCTCATCACACGACATGCACATGCACATACATACATGAGCGCTTTGTTTCGAATTCCTCATTCCTCATTCCTCATACCAATGGTGATATTTCTATGACCTTTTGAAATCGAAATAGAAATTGAAATTCAAAACGATCTATAGAACTGGTGATGGTATCGTAATGGAGTATAGATGGAGTATGAAGTATAGAGTATGGAATATGGAGTGCAGAATATTAAGACTTATTAGATGTTTGGATGTTACGAGGTTTGCCGTCTAGATCACGTGGAAGTGCTCTAGGCTCTCGGAGTGGTTTATAACTAGGCGTCAAGCAGAGACTTAAGTAATGACAAATAATGATATGCAATTCGTAACTAATAGTAGAGTATACTAAATGATTGATCTTGAGCACGAAGCTCTATACAAAGGAAATCCATCTTGATTATATAGACCTTCATGCTTCTATGATCACTGGTGATCCTTAATGATCACTACTGATCACTTGTAATCACGTGCCTTGGTCATGTAATGGTAGTTGTGTAGCCCGTCGTAACAGCTAAATCATAAATACTAACTAGGTACTAGATAAGGTTACTGTAGCTCAGATCAGGATACTCGAGTAATTAGCTGATGCAATCAATGCTGACCCCGCATTATTAGCAACATTCATTACCCTATATAACCTTAACTAAACCCCACATTAATAACTTCAAGACTTCCAGTCCCTCAAACTCAAATCTCAATCAGATCTCTTCCCTATCAATCAAATCAGTCAAATCCCATTAATATTACCCTATAACTTCAACTCATCATCCCTATCAAGTTTCACCACCATTACCAAGATTCTCATTACGCTATAACATCCATATTCCATTACCCTATAACATACCAATCCCATTACCCTATAACATCTCCCCCATATCAAAAGATTACCCATATTCCATTACCCTATAAATTATAACTATCCCACAACCCCTCCCCTAGTATCAAAAATTACCCTATAACAATCCCCCCATTACCCTATAGATATCCACGTGTATCTCTCGCTCTAAAATTTCTTCACGCCCTTTTCTCCGTACTTGGTATCCACTGGTATTCATTACCCTATAACTTTGCTTAGCGAATAACTAATTAGTCTAGCTCGGTTTCCGCTTATCGTCGGGTGGAGCTCTAGTTCCCTTTCCTATCGTTTATCTTTGCCGAGTACATACGGAGTACATACATACGGAGTACGCACAACCTTATTGCACTGAATATTGCCGTGTTGGGAAGAATGCAAAGTGAGTCCTTGTGCTGCTGTTTGTGGAGCGTGCTTGTGTCGTGCTTGCATGCCTGCTTTATGTGATGTGATGTGCTAGATGGGTTGGGTTGCCGATGTTGATACGAAGGTTTGGTGGTTAAGACTTACTTTCAATATAATAGTGAAATGGGAAATATGTACGGAGTAAGAATCTTAACCTTACCTACCTAGGAGATGGGGATAATATTTCCAAGTTGGTTCTAGGAATCCCGTGTATCATTCATTCATTGAATTGTAGATACTAGACTAGACTGGTGGACAGTATTTAAGAAGGAACGAGATGATGATGATCAGCAGCCAACCCGTGGGAAATAAGTATTTAAAGTCTTGGATGCCCTGTTTGGATTTCTTATAACATAACATTTACTTTTGAAATTGAAATCGAATTTGAATTTGAATTTGAATTTGAAACTGCAGCATATCATACAGTATCACATCATATCGACAGACCCCTCCCTGGTTCTCTATCTTCAGTTCCTTTCATCCGCATACTTATACGGAGAATTGGATATCTTATCACACTCTATACATTTACATACTTTTACCCATACACATACACACCTACATACATACGAATAAAAATACAAAAAACACATACAAAATGGGATCAACAACACCAATCACAAACGAAAGACCAGAAGGAGAGATATCAAAACCATGGATTAGAACTCCCTTGGTACGATCAGCTGCTTTGTCAAGGATTGCCGGATGGTGAGTTTTCCAATATGCTTTTTTATTTCTTAGAGATATGGACTAATAGTAAATAGTAATGTTTGGCTTAAACTTGAGAATTTACGTATGTATTGATGAGTTTTCTTTTTTGATTGTGGGATGGGATCATGTTGTTGTAGCTTTGTGCTTGTGTATATATATGGTCATCTCGTTTTTTTTTTTTCGCTCTATCACTATACTTCCCTTCCACTCCCCCTATCAAACTACCCCTCCCCCTACCCAACATGCCTCCTCCCCCAAGGCCAACATCAAACCCACCTAACAAACCCCAGAACCCTCCGGCTCCTTCAAATCCCGAGGCATAGGGAACCTACTCCTCCGCTCCCTCCCCACAGATCCCCGCACCCAAGTCCACTTCTACTGTTCCTCCGGCGGCAACGCCGGCCTCGCCTGCGCACACGCTGCATTCTCCCTCCAACGCCCCTGCACCATCGTCGTCCCTATCACCACCCCACCAAACATGATCTCCAAAATCCGACTCCTCAACGCAGAAGTCATCCAAACCGGCAAACACTGGAGCGAAGCCGATCGCTATCTTCGCGAGGAATTACTCGCCCATGATACAAATGGTGTATACGTGCCACCATTTGACCACCCGGATATCTGGGAGGGGAATAGTGGGGTTATGGAAGAGATTGAGGAGGAAGTGCGGGAATTAGGTATTGGTAGTTTGGACGCGGTGGTTTGTAGTGTAGGGGGTGGAGGGTTGTTTAATGGGATCATGAGGAGTTTAGAGCGGAATGCGAGGTTAGGAGTTCATAGCCCGACAAAGGTTCTTGGTGTGGAAACGGAGGGCACGGCGAGTTTTCACGAGGCGTTGAAGAAGGGGGAGTTGGTGAGGTTGGATGGTATCGATAGTATTGCTACGTCGTTGGGTGCTACACAAATAGCGGCGAAATCGCTAGAGTGGGGTTTGAAATATAAGGAGAATGTGAGGAGTGTGGTTTTAAGCGACGCCGAGAGTGTGAGTGGTATGGTGTGGATGGCGGACGAGGAGAGAATTGTAAGTTTAACTAATCCTTTCGCTCATTTCTTCGTCTGAGTTTACTAATCCGATACAGTTGGTTGAAAGCGCATGCGGCGTAAGTGTCGCAGTGGCTATTAATGGCGTATTAAAAGAAATATTAGAGGAAGATGGGGAAAATGTCGAGAGGAAAAATGCAGTGATAGTGGTTTGTGGAGGAAGTAATATTTCATTAAAGACATTGGCGGAATACAGAGAGAGATTTGGCGTTTGACAGCCGCCGAGCTTCAGGGCTTTTTTCTTTCATTTTATTAGGTTCAGGCGCGAAATCATAATGCAACATTAACATTGGGTTTAGAGGCGTTCTTTGAGGAAATATTGAATAGGTTAATGATAAGTTCCAGATATATCCATCATATTCCAAGTATTCTTAGGAGACTAACATTGAGAAATTCTTTCATCACACATCAAGCTATATTAAACCCGATGAATGAAAGGAAATGATGTGATAGGTATGAATGCTGGAAACGTAACATTCAAAGAAGTATGTGCCTTTCAAATGAGATCAATATCCCAAATGGTTTTAATACTTCAAATCTTTTGCTGCTTTCAATCCCCTGAAACATTTCAATATCTCAAATGTGCTAAATCATGTAGGTGAACATTGTTGGATTGCAATATACGCTACCAGAAACCACCAAAAAGAGTATTTGGTCTCAGATCCAGATGCATCGTCACACCACAGTTTCTCAAACAACATTGAGCGAAAATTTGAGTTCTTGCAGTAAAAAGAGCTCTAAAGCTATAGATACTCTGCAAACTAAAAGCTAAGTGTCTGTCACCGATTTTGCGTGATTGTGTAAATATATCTTGTGTCCTGAACCATGTCCTAACACTTGGTTATGAGAGTGCATAATATCATCACCGTGATAACTCCGATACCCGCCCAATAACCTCAACCATATGGTATCTCCAACCTTAATGTATGTGCCCCCCGATTACCTAGTCAATTATTAGTCCGATGATTTACCTGTCCCTACCATTTTAATTCACCGCGCCGAACGAGTCCCCAGTATCTTAAACCACATTACTGCCACTAGGATCTTCCACATCCATTGGATCTTCCCCAGTAGCATCATCAGTAAGATCCATAGTATCGCGCTTCGTTCTCCCACCAAACAAGCAAGTCCATAGATCATTTTCTGAAACGACTTCACCACTTTTACCCTTGGCTATAAGATTCGCGAGTATCGATTCCTGCATCTCTTTACTATCAGCCTCTTCCAGACCATGCGCTACCAGTTCTTCATCCGAGAGCTCTCTCTCCTTCCCCTTTTTCGATTTGGCTGCATGCCCCAGATGCTCTAAACGTCTCTTAACAGATAACTCATAGATTGATTGTTCAACAGTATTGCCAATGATATGTAAGTAAACATTGGTGTCGACAAGTTGGCCAATCCTATCGACGCGTGCTACGGCCTGAATTTCCAGCGCAGTGTTCAATAAAGGTTCGCAGATGAACACATGACTAGCATTAACTAGTGTCAATCCAGCACTATGCGCTCGAGAGTGTAGTAGGAAAACCTCTATGTTGGGATCATTTTTGAATATCTCAATTCCATTAGGCTTATCAATGGATGCATGGCCGATGCGGAATACACGGAATGCGCGAGCCAAGATCGGTAAAAATTCTGCAAACTGAGAAAAAACGATTGACTTTGAGCCAGGATCTGATTCTCTAAGGTAAAGAATGTGGCGGGCTTTTTTGGAAGTAGTTAGTGGTGCTTTGTTGAATGGAGTCAATATTTACATACCAAGGGTGTCAATTTTGGTGCCAAATGAATTATTACCTGGAAGCTCGACGTTCTTGATGGCAGAAAGAGTAGCTCGGCTGAAATCTGAGTAGATTGCGGATTTTTGAGGGGTGTTAGAATTAAGCGACCGTTCCTTTAGTGGCTCTCTAACCTCCTCTGTTTCGGTGGTCAGTGTTGGTTCTTGTGGTTTGTAGGTAATTTCGTGAAGATCTGCGTGAATTAATTTCTTTTTACAGACAGGGCAACTATGATGTGCTTCAATGGGTTAGTAAAATGTATGCGGCACTTAAGGTAATTGGGCTCTCACATTTCCACCATTGCTTGATACAAATGGAACAGAATTGATGACCACAGACGGTTAAAACTCCAAGCTCAAATCCATCTCTGCAGATGATGCACATTCGCGTATCTTGAAGGCTTTCCGTCTCCTCTTTCAGGTGAACTAGATATCTTTTCTTGGCTCTCAAGGTAGCTAAGCGCTGGATAAGTACCTGCTCGTTTCCTAGCATCTTCACAACGACATCGTCATTGTTTGGACCTGCATACGGAGCTACCTGATTTGAGATTGCTTGCAGTTGTTTATAATATTCCACCCGAAAGTTCATACACTTTGTGAACAGCCCTACTTCCTTCTCCAGGGCTTCAGCCACTTTCGTCTGATCCATGAGTTGTTTGTGGGTCATTTTTAGTTGAGATTCAACAATCGAGAGTTCATTTTGTGCATTATTTGCCTTGAGTTTAGACACGAGGGTCCGGAGTGCTGACAGAGTCCCCCTAACACTATTGCGTTCATGAACAAAGCGGTCTCTTACATTGAACAGTTCAAGCAGTCGTTCTGGGTAAGGGCCTTCGCCCCTTTTCGCTTCCCGTAAAGCGTTTTTAGCTTCTTCGTCAGTTAGATAATTCCGTATTCCGCTTAACGATGCCTGTCTATCCGCAATCATTGTCCGCAATGCTTGTACGTATACTACAACTTCTTCTTGTACTTTTGTAGAGTTCTCATATTCATCTCCACTAATAGCTACTTCATCATCATCGTTGTCGACCAATGTGCTCAACAAGATCCGTCTGAGATGATCTCGCCATTCATTAATCTGATGAGCTTGATTGTCTAGATGAATCCCGAGTCTTTCGAGGCTGCCAAGACGTTGGTTAGTAAGTAAGTAGGTATAGGACAAAAGGTTCTAGGGAAATCTAGCTGAATGATTGGTTTGATTAGAAATGCAGATATTTGCAACTTACTCTTCCATGATACGGCGGCTTTCGGTGCCCCTGCTGAGAGTGTTGGCTACGTATTTAGGCAATTGGAGAGGTGTACGGGATTCTGTATCGTTCCTAATTGTGATCATCATGGAGTTTGCTTTGTTAAAGGCCTATGATTTGGTTAGCCTTGCTTGATTAGAAGTGTCTATTTGAATTGGAGAGTACTCTCTTCGTAACGAATTTTGAGAGCCAGGGAAAAAATATTTGGAGCTTGAATTCGGAGTATTACAAATGTGCACAAGTGGAGTACAGAACTTACATCTTGTAATATCTCGCGCCGCAAGTCCTTAGCTTCTTCGTAACCCTGTCTTTCGAGTATATCAAGGTTTTTAAACTCTGGAGAATCCGGTTTTGTCATTTCCTCGTTTGTTTTAATCTGGAAGTGAGCGTTTGCCCGGAAGAACACCGCCATGTGATGGAGTTCTAAGGCGGCCCTCAACTGTGCTCGACTTAGTCCTAGGGGCGAGGCAGGATCCAATCTAAGTGAGAATGTGTTAGAGTGTTCGTAAGACGATTCCAGAAGCCCTCACCCATCTTGTCCTTCAACTTCTTCTTCATTGATCCTTTCAGCGCTTTGGCTTGGGGCATTTGAACCTTTCTCTAGATGAACAGCCCGCTTTGCTTTCTCCGATGATATTTCACCAATTAACTCATCTCTAGCTTCACCTAGACCAACAGAGGACTCTAAGATTACTGCTTCCCAGATTTTCAAAGCCTCTTGAACTCGAGGTGAGTCCTCATACAATTGCCCTCTTTTGAGCCGAGAAAGAAGAAGTGACCGATGATTTGTTCTAATCGCAACATCTGTTTGTGAGAACATAACTTCGAGAACCTTACCTAATAATGTTATTAGTTTCAACCACGAGGCCCACCATTACTATATTTCCCGACTTACTTGCCGCTTGAATAACTGGTTCCGAGTCATCTCCACTTCCATTTTGCCTAATGGTTCGTTTTTTGCGTCCACCACCTTCGGCGTGCAATGTAACCTGTCTCAACCGTACAAGCCAGCGTCTCATCACCTCGGCATAATCCTTCGGATCCCAGCCATACATAAGAGGCTTACCCTCGGGGGTTAATGCTGATTCCTCACACATTTGACTAAATAATTCTTGGTAGTATGCTTCTTCAATGGCATTAAAAGGCATAGTTATTACGAAGCGGCGTTGTTTGGGTAATTTCAGCTCTTTACGAACACTTTGTTTCGAGTGACGTAAGCTGATGGATCCGAACAACTTGTGGAAGTCTTGCTTGGAGGATACGAACGATGGCCAGAGCGAAACTATGGGCTCATATCTTAGGAAGATGAGTAGCCCTAATAAGTCTTTGATGTTCTTTCTGACCTATGCTACAATCAGTTTATTTCATTTCATATTGTGAATAAAAAGGTGTGGTTTTAGGTTCTCCAATGATCCGTATTGCAGGCCGACAATGAGTTATCATTAATGGCTGAATTTCTTTTGTATATCCGACCAATCGATGAGATGAATCCATATGGAACGAGCCCCACTGCAGACACTAAATTGAACTCAATGCTTCACAGGTTTTCGAACATTGGAAACTTTCTAAATGTATCGAACCTGGACAGCAGTCCGGACAATTGGATGCCCTAATGAGGAAGAGCATAGGATATCAATAGCTGGAAACACTTACCGGGGTGCCAGTAATTACCCAAGCATTGATTCGAGGTATCATCCTTGCGACAATTGCGGCATTACTAACACTGCTCTCAATCATTTGTGCTTCATCTAGGCACACACGCCACCACGAGAACTGAATTAAAGGCGATTTGGGTCTCCGGTATTTTGACTCCCTGCGCAATGTTCTCCCCGGATTCAGACTGGTGAAATGGATCTCTGATGCAAGTATAGCATACGTGGTAATGACTATATCGGAGGTGGCAAAGTCGTCCATTATTGCCTCATGGTGAAGTGTCCGGCTCTTGATACCTTCATAGTAAGTAACCTTGAGATGTGGCGCATGAGTTTTGATCTCACTGATCCACTGTTCTGAATATTGTCAAAATGATATGATCGGGGCGCAGTTTTGATTGAACACTCACTTGATATAGACGGCGGTGATATTATGAGGGTTGCATTTGTTGTCTGTAGATTCTCCCCAGAAAATGGATCGATAGTCGATGGGCCTTGATTAGGACGGGTGTGAAGTGTCAACAGAGCAATTATTTCTACAGTCTTACCCAAGCCCATCTCCTCTGCAAGAATACCACCCTTGATTTCTCGTTCCATTGCGAAGAAAGGAGCAGGGTTGAAAGTAACTATTCCATACAAATGACTGACATAAAAAGAGCGCCCTTTCAAATCTGTTGCTGCAATGAACGAGACAGGCAACTGACCTGCCACCTCGAACTGTGCCTCTCTGACATTTGCGGTCGCGCGAGACCATTCGACACCTTCCCTGCGAAGCAGCCATTGTACAGCCCGCTTTTGAAATGGGTAAAGAGTTGATTTCAAGCGGGGTGTTTCGATGGAGGCAGGAATCTCATCATCCGGATCTGACGAATGTGCAGATTGATAGAAATCTTGCGCAGACAGCGGATCCAAATTTTCGCGATTTGGATCAGGAAAGTAAGTGTTTAGAACCTTCAACAGAGCATCCGTTTTCTTGAGCTGTATCGACTCGGGGTGAGTTGCTACCCCCCATTTGATAGTAAAATGTATTTGTATATAATCTGAGCCGTCCCTTTTATGCAAACTTATTCCAGCCTCTGTCCATAACTTACTTGATTGTCGAACGTGCTTTTTAGAGTCTCGATCAACCATTAGACAAATAAGGACGTCATTAAAGGGATTGGGAATGCCCGTCGATGTATTTCCAAGTGATAAGGGTATGATAAGCAAAGTGTTACCATTTTCATTTTCAATTATGATATGAGATGGCCCGGATTTCTCATTCTGCCTATCCCAGAGGCAATTAAAGCGGATTTTCTGCTTACTCAAGGTGGTGCTATCCGAGGATAACTTTGGTTGAAGACATCTGATTTCCCACGAAGATTCCTTGACGACGATGTAATCTCCCGACACATGATCGTTCAATGATTGCAACTCAGATCCCGTTACAAGTTTCTGTCGCTTATGTGGAGGTTCTTTTGATGCATTCTAGAGTCTCGAATTAGCACTTCTAGAAATCAATGATAACCATCAAACTTTTGAGGTCAATTGAATGTGGCCCTAGAACAACATATGGTTGATAATAATAGTTACCTGGTTTGCGGTAAGATAATCAATTAATGCATCCGTAATAATATTGGCAAAAGTCAGCGGAGCCTCATTACGGAGAGCTTCGTTATCCTCATCATTACCATTACCATAACCTTCGATATTTCTCCTTTGTGCCTCTAACTCCTGTGCAAAGACATAGTCATCAGGAATGATTCCGAACTGCTTTTTATGCTTAGGAGGCACATTGATAGGAGCCATTGTATCAATCCTCGGAACCAAATCTCTTCACCGAGATATGTAACTTCGAAACAGCACAAAGGCTCCACGTGCAGGAAGTTTACTTCGTTTAATGAATATAAAGAAACGGGCTAGGGTTTATTAGACTGAAAAGGAGACTCTCTTCTTGTTCTAATAAATATGAGATAACGAAAGATGAGTGGCAGACAATCCCAAATAGCAAATAGTTGTGCATGATTTTGGTGATTGTTTCCTGGTGATGTTGGATATAAAAAGAAAAGTAGTAGGTACCTGCCTCGGGGCAGGGTACCGATGCACTTTGATAACCGATAAGAAGGTCAGCACGATGTGGAGTCGGATATACTTTGTTCCCATTAACTCACATCACATGATTAAAGATTTTCCGAACAAACACTAAGATTAAAATCGAATTGTGAGGCACCAGGCAGTTCAAGAGAATCCCAAAAGGTAGGTACAGCCTTCTGCTGGTCGACACAAGTTGAGACAGGTTGACTTATACCAAGCGCCCAGTTGACATACGGTCCATGCAGGCTTTGGTATTAATACATTGACCTACGGGATCCATTTAATCATTCATCATTCTACAGTATGTACAATTGGTCCTCATCTCATCTTCAATCCTGCGATGCTCAGTTGAGACTCTGTTCTGTGGCATGGAGCCATATTGACTTACTCATTAGAATCTGCCCATGATGATTTTCAAGCCTCACCAGCTACGACCAATTCCCCCATTTCTCCTCCCATTTACGGATTCAACCACTTGCACTCAAGTTCGAAGTTTGCATTATCGCATGAAGGCGCCGCCCGTACCACGTCCCACACCCTTTGTGCCGGATGCTCAAACGTTTCTTACACTCATTGGACGGAACTTGAGCCAGCATGCATCGAAGATTCCTTCTTGGAAAGCATTATTTACATTAACCTCCGATCAATTACGAGAATTGGGTGTTGAGCCTCCACGGAGTCGACGCTACCTCTTGCGCTGGCGCGAGAAATTTAGAAAAGGGCAGTACGGCATTGGTGGGGACTTGCAACATATTGAAAATGGAGTTGCAGAATTGCGTGTAGTTGAAGTGCCATCTTCAAGCCCGATACACAGTGCAGCTACCGCAACATCCTCCCCAGGACATCGAAAGATAGTGGTCAATGTGCCCATTGGGGGCAGTGCAGAAAATGAATTGGCTGAGCAGATTCCTGTTCAAGGTGTGAGTATTAAGGGAGCACATACCATTATCGGACCCCATGTGCAACCTTTGAAAGGAGGAAATGGTGCGAGATTTGTTGTCAAAGAAGGATTATGGGAAGATCGCAGAGGTTACAAGATTGATGGCGGCGAAAGGAGACAAGCCGAAGTTCGAGCAAAGAGGAGAGGAGAAGAGAAACGTGCAGCCAGATAAGAAAAGATTTGATGAGCAAGCTATTGATTGATGTAAGATTATGTTTGAGGCTGTGTATGGCATGCATAGGGAGGAGGTGGCTTTGCTGTGATATTTTGGGATCTCTATCCACAAGTCAAAGTGTTCTAGAAGATATATATACAAGGCTGCAGTTGAGCTCATCACGTATTGAAGTTGGATGTTGACTCAACACCTAAATTGCGATTGTAGTCTAAATGAGGCGGGGTCGGCTCCAAGGCCACGTGAAATTGCAGCTTCGCGGCGCAGAGTTCAACTGGACACTATTTCCGTCCTCCTTTTGCTGAAACACCTGGATCATTGTTTCTTTCTATATGTTTCCTCATACTAGCCTAACCCTATTTAGGAATACTCAAAATCCGGTACTCCTGTATAAGATCGCGGATACTTGGTTCCTTATTTCACCATTCCCCAGAGCCATCGTAAGCTCGTTCATGCTCACACCCTGGTACTTTTCTCATTCTAGCAGTTGTGCGAAATGTACCCGATACCGCCTTTTGATGAAAGGTGCCCGTTTGCTTCAAGTCTCCGAAAGTAATATTCTTGAGTGTACGATAATGGAGGCGTATTGGTTGATTTCTCGATTATGGATGATGCCAGGAGCTGACTGTGCTGGAGATTTCCTGCTAGGCCGGAGGATCTTTCCTCCAGATTATTACTTCGCTAAAGAAGTTTTGATAAGCTACCTAGTATTATTGTAATACCATACAATTTCAGGTTTTGATAAAATGGTAGACCAATCTAGCAGCCGGGACACCTATTAGAAAACCGGGGAACATTTGAACTGCAAGACGAAAGCTCATTTTGATAAGCCAATATCAGCCGAATTCTACCACTTCAGGCCGTTTAATCCCATACCCATCCAGCTGTCAAGATCGTCAATTTCACCAGTAGGAGCGGGGCGAACATGTACGATATGCGTTCTTTGGGCACAGTAAGGCTTCTCAGATATTTTCGTCCAATGTTTAGATGGATTGATAGTGATACTCAACCTGATGTCAAGAAGCATCCTTAAAAGAAAATCGTACGGCTATCATATGGGTCCGGAATCGAAGACTCAATATGGCAGTGGATGTGTTCGTAATAGAAAACAATTGAGAAGCTGGTGAGCTATTCCGTAGACACATCGGCTAGTACTTTCCTATACTAACTTTAACAAGCTGACTAGATACTTCAATTACAGAACAGAATGAGTGTACCTGATATACTGACCATAGCCAGGTATATACAGCTATATGGAGGTATTGATCAATCTATTCATGTGTGATGGATTTGAGGTACTCCTTCGTCTGCCTGAAATCCCATAAATTGACCCCTGTCAAACCTATGGCAGGAACCGAAGCTATCGTACCTCTGCCTGAACGGGTACTCACTACCATTTCTACAGTTGGCTTACAGTATTTTCTGTTTCCGGCATTACAGCAAGATAGAGAGCAGACTTTCAAACATTACGACTCAACTGTTGAACGTCTTAGTTGATTGAAAAAACAATCAAAAACGGTAATAACGCGATGAAGGATTTCGGCCAATCTCATCCCTCCCAATCTTCCTCTGAGTTGCATGGCATCGCCATTACACCGCAAGTCCATTATCTCATTCATTGGAGCTTTCCTATTCTCATAAACCTAGCTATCTAAGGTTCATCATCCTTTTCGTCACATTCCCGTATTTTGATGAGTTTCTTTACACTAAGTCACATATATGCTTAGTTCAATTATTGGATCAGGTTGTAGTCCAACTTAGGTGAAGCTGCCTTAGAGGAATCAGGACGTTCTTAATTTGTCTATTCACTTGTATCCTACCTCCTATCGACCTATAGCCAGTCACGTTTTCATGGCCGTCATATATCTAATCCGCCTGAAGGCAGTGCTTCCGTTTGACGTTCCATTCACTCTTGGTTTGTATGCTTCTCTTGCAAATATGTTTACGGATATCTTTATATATCTATTTTTGATACCCAAAAGCGATCATTGAATCTGCCCTCTGCGCCGCTGTCTACTTCTATAAAATAGGGAAGTTTCCCATGATCTAACAACTATCAACTCATTCATCATCACCATCAATCATCTTCTTCGATATCATAGAGAGCTTGAGCATACTTATCTGCATTGCAACTTGTTGCTTTCAAGTTTATCGTGTTTCAAGCACTACATACATTCACAGGACCATTAGCAAGGGTGCAATCGTCACTCTATTCTTATTCCCCTAGACGCCTGAACAGAGGAGATCTTAGTGAAAGTGTTAAATTTTACTGTTGGCTTCAGTGCTCCATTCTTCGTGCGTCAATTAATTATCTGGACATTGAAAGGCCCGACGTCAACCAAACTGAGCACATTGAACATTCCTTGGAACAAGAAAGAGCCTCTAAGAGTCAAACTATCATATCGAAGCCAAATTTAGAGTCAAACTCTGAGGAAAAAGCCGAAATGTCTTCTTCCAATCGATCTTCATCTGGCAAGGGGAAGAGCTCTTCCTCCGGAAAGTCAAAGCCGAAGGAAGACGATTGGTCTGGCATCACAGATCCGGAAGAACGAAGGAGAGTGCAAAACAGATTAGCCCAGAGAAAGTTCCGTAAGTAGTCACTGTATGACTCAGATTTCAGCAATTAGCTAACGTTTCATCAGGGGATAAGGCCAAGGCGGACAAAGAAAGTCGGGATCGGGACAATGAGAATCGTGCTCACGCCGGCCATGCTTATCACACAGCTGAGTCAAATGATGTCTACTACGACAATCCTGACGCTAGTGGTTCGCCATGGGGTACTCTCTCTATGAAGCACGTCATTTCGAAGGGTAGAGCTCGAGAGGATGCATCTAGATATGAAGCTCGGCCAGGCGATGGGGCAAGTTACTATCAAAACGCCGATGTCACTTATGAAGGAGAAGCTTATTATGGAGGAGAGGCAACTTCATATGAGGGCGACCAAAACCAAACCTACTATGACTATGGAAGCGCAGCTGGCAGTGGTAGTGGAACTTCTGGTTATTGATCAAACCAGTGACTTGACTGGTCATTGGGCAAAAGTCACGACGAAATGCTGACACGGAATGACCTGATTATGTTTTCATGTCCTCGACACGATTTCGGGCTGCAGTTATGGCCTCGATTATGTGCTATGTTACATCTTTAGACTTTTTTCTACCCCTTCTCGACTTTCGTTCAACACATCAATTTTTTTTTTGGTATAGACGGCGGACGAGGAGAAAAAGGAGGAGGATTCAACGATACCAGGCCCATATCTCATTATACTTGCGCACTTCCTTGCTATTTTTCCTTTCCTTCCTATTTTTCCTTTCTTTCCAGTTTCAGTCTTTTCCTTTCCAGCAAGAATCAATTGCTGCCTGTTTTTATGTAACATTAGATTTCCTATACTCTATGCTGCTTACCTTTCGCGCGGCTTCATTATCCATAGACAGATAGATAGATTTGGAGGTTCAGCTCAACATGTACTTTTAGACTATAAGAAAATTTCCTCCATGCAAAAACGTCATAGTAAGCCTTCGAGTAAACATGACCTTGTGGGATTAAGGCGTTTGGTAACACCGCATTCGCTAAACCCCTGGAGAAGCCACCGCATGGCTTGTCTCATGGATGTAAAATCTAGTATGTAACCATTTGCAAGCTGGAATGAAACGACATGTACGTACCCTGCGGAATTTTCGGATCCTGCGCAATGGGAAGGAAGTCCGTAACGGTCCCGACAGATTAATAGAAAAAGTGTGGGTAAAATCTGTCAAGTCATTTCCATCAGGATTGGCGGGGGGATTAACCGTCCGAGGCTGTGTGCACAGTACTACTAGATATGACATATTTCGCTGCCCTCAGTCAGCCCAAGATCTGTTTCCTAGATAAGTGTTCCAGATAGGAAGGAAACGAGATGTCAGTTTACGGCAGTTCTCGTATAGATCGTGCGGGGAATTGAGACGCCTTGAATCCCATCCTTGGGAAGCGGATGATTCGCGGGTGGCGGGTCTCACAGAATACACGGAGTATGCGGTGGAAGGAAGATCCAGAGTGGCGCAATAGGGAAGTTTAACTCTTGGGGGTTTTGGTTCCCTTCTTTTCCCTGTGGGATGGCTGATGAGAGGAATAGGTATGGTTACTAGCATTAGCACACTCAAATACGGGACGTTTTAGTTCGTGATTAAATGGTAAGGCGTGTAAGCGTCCCAGACGCCATAGTGTGGTAGGTGCATAGGATGCGGGTTAGTTAGTAGGGTCAAATGCAAGATCATCTGCCGCACCTAAGCTCAGCTAATGCTCCATAATCCCACCGCAAAGGATCACTACCGTATAGGTTAAGTGTGTCAGGCGGGGCCGGGCTCGGTTTCTTCCTTCCTGTTGGTAGCGATGGGAATGTTGGTAAAATGGCTGTGATAATAATTATAGTAACAGTCTTCTTCATCAGGCGAAAATAGTAAGCTGAGATTTATGTTTTGACGGCGTGATGGGGATTCTGATGTCTAAACGAAGCAAGATAAAACATAATGGAACACTTGTCTGTTAGGTAATACCATACATACCTAGTGAGGGAGAGAATCGTACTCGACAATTACCGGTATTGACTTGGTCAATTAGTTATTAATATTCCTTTGTAGGACACGGAAATGGTATTCGCCATTTTCCTTCAACAATATCTAATAAAGGGGAGAAATTCATCATAGCTCCAGCTACGGTGACCTATGCAGACCACAATCTGTCTAGACCAACCATAACAATGATTCGGATAATAACACAATACTCCGCAGTACCTAGCTAAAGCTTCCCTAAGATCTCACTTATTATTAGAGTAACCTTACAAAGTATAGAAATGAGAAGCTTCAATTTAAAAACCCATTTGTCATTTTCAATTATTTCTTTATCGGTTCAATCTTAAATATTATGTCTATTCTCACCCATATTGCATTTTAATTCCACAAATTCCAATTCAAATATTAACTTTAATAGCAATTGATTCTGAAATGGATTAAATTCAATTTCTACAGCGAATCACTTATTCATTAATCATTATTTTTACTTTTCTATTCGCTTCTGTGCAGTAACAACGGAAAGAAATGGCAGACTCACTGGATTCAGTCGTCACTGTCGCTTCTGACAAGGAAGATGTATCACCAACTCAAGCAAACTTCAAAGCCTCGCCTTCAAAAAATGTCACCAGTAATCCCGAATCTTCTCAAAACACTCCACCAACAACGACAAAATCAGCCAACGATATAACAACTGAAGACGAGGAACGCAGAACGCCCGCCCGCGAGAATAATACAAGTACACTTGTTGGGACATCGTCGCGTGCACGGAATAAATCTGCCAAAGATCAAGCCATCACTATGCAAGGAAACATTGGGGCACAGAACAACAAGATCCGTCACCTCAAAAAGGATGACGGAGAGCCACTATGGAGAAAGGATATTCAGTACGACTTTCTGAAACTCATCTTTGAGGACGACAATGCCGTGTTCACTAATAGTTACGATGACACCATGCCGAAGCAGACTTTCGCAGACCTTTACATTGATGCGATGGCAAGGAGTAGCAAAACGAGTAAGATCTTGAGAGATAAATTGCTGAGCGAACATGAGCCAGCAAAGAACATGGCAATGGTGTGCTTGTTGGTTAATCTCGGTCGCATGAATACCACTTTGAATTGTGAGTAATTATCTTTTCTCGAAAATCCACATAATAATAAGTTTCAGTCTTCCCAGAAATGCGAGCACAACTTCGTACCTACCATGCCATTCCATCTTTACAAGCTCGACAAGATCCCAACTCCTACAAACAACTTCAGGATGCACCTCGACTTAAATCTATTCTGAAGGGTGCATCTGAGGACCGGCCTGAACCTGCTTCTTTGGACAAGATCAAAACAACACCGATACCTCGAACAAATCCAGTCAATTTAATCTTTGTTCTTGCTACATATGCCTCTAAGGTCACAGAATTACATTTCCCTACAAACCGTGAATTTTTCGACCTCATCATGAACACCCAAATCACCAGCAAGTCAAGGGCTAAGGCATTCTTATGGTTGATGTGGTTCTACCTTGAATCCGACTTTACAGAGGAGGGCGCGGATGAGAATCCATTTGGTTCTGGTGTTGATTACCACACTGACGTCAGAAATCAGGGTGTTCCGCGATTACAAGATATGACGGAAGAACAAGAAGCGCTGGAGAACATCGATACAGAAGAAGAGCTAGAATATGGCCAAAGCAAGATGCGCGAGCGCAAACGCATCATTGAAGCAGATCAAATCGCCTTCCAAGCAGAAAATGGTCCGCCGAAACGTGGTCCCAAGCCGAAGCTCAACTTGCCCCCCGATGAAGGTTCCAATTCATCTGCTATTATGAGTCGTATGCGACCTCGTTATGATGATGTAGTTGGAACTCCTGGTGGTTTGATTAGTAAGGTTCGCCCCAGATACGAGTCCGATCTTGACAGCACACGCTCCACCCCGCCCCCTCGAGCTTTTAGTTCCAGCAACATGCGTATTAACAGTGTATTTAATGCAGGCTCCAGACATCGAGGCGGTAAGAATGGTGAGGGATCGTCTCCAGCACCAGAGATACCAGCTACTCTTGCGAGACGACATCGACCGCTAACTGCACATCAAATTGCGGTTGAGCGGAATAGGAACCAGCGAGTCGACTACATTCTAAGTCGCGGCATTAGAAAGGCGCATCATTCGGCGAGAAAGTCGCGTAAGGACGAAGGCGCCTTTATCCGCGCCTTTAAGAGAACGAATGCAATGTTAGATCCTTTTAGCGACAGCGAGGATGACACCTACCATAGAAATCCTTACCCTTTTAAAGAACGAGGATTTGGTGGCCTTGTTCAACTAGAAGGTGAAGAGGATGATTTTGGAGAAGAAGTGTCAGCGTATGCAGCTGCTTTCCGACGTGCCGGAAGAAGACTTGATCGTTGGGATGGTCAAAAGGACTTAAATCTTGGAGTTATTGGTACCAACCGCATTTCGGTGAACAATGGTATGAATGGTCACCGCGCACGGGATAGCGATGAAACCGAGGACGAGCAAGATCAACCGGTTGTTCATCAATCGAAGCACCAGACAAATGGACATGTAAGCGTACCGGACGGAGGGGATGATGATCTTGACGACATGGACAAGGAGCTTTTAGGATTGGTAACTGATAACGATGATGATGAAGATGACCTTGATATGATGGAGAAATCTTTACTAGGTATTGCTGGAGACGAAACGGAGGCAGATATTAGCGATGTGGGCATGGATGTGGATTAGCCGAACTTCTTGTACTGATAGGTAGTGGTAGGGTATTTAAAGGGTATAGGGATAGTTCGATAGGCTTGTCGAAAGGGGCGTTCTTGAGTGGGAGACTATGGCTGGCGTCATCATTAAGATATGAAGTGAAAATCACTTTATAAATATGTCGAGAGTCCTACTTTGATAGATGGAGGGATTGGGAAGATCAGATATTTATGTATGTTATATTATTAGTCACGAAAATCATAGTGGCATGATTTTACTAGCGTGTTGGGAATGTCAAACTTTGATGTTGTAGGCAATGGGTAATCTAGTAACCTTACTGAAATGGAGGAAAGATGGATTGATGAAAATCGAACAGTTGTTCTGATGGCCACAAAGCATGCACGTTATGATACTTGTGATAGCGATATCAGAGGACAGCTTCAAGGGTTTGTTGGTTGTTTGTTTCTATTGTGTCATTGACAGACACTAACACTAACACACAATTTTGTAGTTTATTTTTAGAGTGGATCCATTATCAATTCCAAGTCCGTAAGATTACAGCTGCTATCATAGATTTTTTTATTATTATTTCAGGAGTTAATTTCAACCAAGGAAGTCTCCTTTTTCATTTTTTGCATTTGTACTCGTATATATCCTATCCCATCCTTACCCTCCCTATACATCCTGCAATAAAGACCAGGCATGATAATGCCCAGCAAGCTTTTAAACCCAAATACAGGGTTGATGAAATAATCTTCAACAAAAACTATATGGAAAAATGCGTCACGAAGTCTATGGATTATAAACCATTTAATCGCAACCTCGATATCTTGCCATTCAATTCGATCCTCTATTGTACCTGCCTTGCGCGACACATACGTGAATCTCTAATCGACTTTATCAAGGAAACTCTTATCTTTTGAGACCGGTGACACAACTCGGCCCTGCAACGCCATTGCGAATAACGATGAATGTGCATGGAAAGATTGAATAATTGAATATAAGGATATTGTTGAGAATCTGCTCGAGAAGGGATTTTCGGACCTTGATAATCCTTGTACGAGCTCTCACAGCAGGATGTTCTCTTATCTGCGACCTCACCGGCGCACATCGACCCCTTCATCCCCGAAATCAGAGGTGCCCAGTTTTGAGCCTCCGACACGTTCAGCGGACCATGGTCATCCGCCACGACTCCAAGATGTTAAGTACGAAGATGAACCATCGCCAATCTCTCCTTCACCTCACCTACCTCCAATCGCACGAGTTTCGAGCGCGGGGTATGGAAATACATTAGAGAATTTGAGTTTCAGTGGGAAGATAACTACACATGGCCATGAGCCGAGAGGGCAGAGCTGGGTGGATGCGAAACTTAACAATGCGCGGAAGAGAAGTTCGGAAAATGGAACCAGCCAGAAATCACCACTATATGCGAGCAATCAGAGCCCTGATTGTGCGGGAAATGCAGGACCAGTTTCTACGAGGAATACTGGATTTGACCATTCAAAATCACAATCCAATGCCGTCTACGATTCAAGTACGAAGAAGCATGTTGGGCCGACCACCCCAGATCTAGATATCAAGCCTACTGGGAGACGACCTACGGGTGCTCGAATACCTTCCCCACCCCTCGAAGCGCCTCCTCCACAATCATCTAAAGGAAGGCTGAAGATGTTAAACCCTATGGCTCTTCTGGCTCGACGGAGAACTTCTCAAGCTATAACTCAATTAACTCCGGAATCACTTACTACAAGTTTTAGCTCAAAGGAGAGTTTTGATCCTCGAATTAAAGGGACGGTTGTGCACGATTTCAGTGCTCCAAGAGGACCGCGACGGAACGCATCCCACAATGATGCCAGCGTTTCGGATCCGACCAGATCATTCCAAAGAAGCCCTTATGCAGATTCGACCACGAGTGAAAAAGCAGGAAATCATACCCCGGTATTTACCGAGAACTTTGAAGAGGAGCAATATCCTGCCGCAGGGCCTCATGTACGGAAAGCTAACGACTTGTCTGATCTCACTGCTCCGAAGCCCGCGTATGCGCGAGAAGTTCAGAGACAAGCTGATCAAGGCTCAGCTTCGAAAGTCACCGATGAGTTGCAGACTGGAGACCTGAAGAGGTTGAGTGCACAAAAAGTCGCTCCAGATGTTGTATCCGGAGTACCACTAAAAGACGAAACCCCTGTTCCGATCGAGTCGAAACGAATATCGGTTGGTCCTACATCAACTCCACCTAAAGCACATCCATCGTCAAAAAAGGGCGGACGGGCACGAAATGTATCCGATGCTTCAGCAAAAGATGCCCTAAAACACATGAAGAGTACGTCTTCGAGGTTTAGTTTCGATATGATAGGAGCCGCGGAACAGGAAAGGTTACTTGAAGATAGACATCGCCAGAAGGCAATGGAGAAAAAGAACGACCCGGACAATAATGACGACCAACAAATTTATGACGAGGACGATGACTTTAACTATGATGATATGATGGATGATGATGGGTTGGAGGAGAGGATACCCGGCGTCAACGCTGATTATGATGAAGAAGATGCATTTGAAGGATTCGATGGTGGATATGAAGATGATGTACCGGGTATCAACACTACTAGCCTGGAGGAAATACAAGAAACAGAAGAACAGCAAGAGGTAGAACAAGCCGCGCCAGTTAAAGACGAAGCGCAACCAGATCTGCTGGATAGGAATGTTGCAGGCTTTTCTAGTCTCATGAGCCCGTATACTCCTGGGGCTGCAACAACGCCTCGGGACTCTAATGGACAAGTTATTGGATACGCTATGACGAAATACTCACCTTTTTTTCCGTCAGAACCACCTAATTCAGTCTTCACACCAATTTCTCCAGATGGAAATATTTACCCTCCAGATAAGCAACTGTCTGGGGAGCAATCAACCTCAGAAGCGAATCATCAGGGTCTTGGTATACTCACCCAGAATCTACATGAATCACGGGAAGACGTCGTACAGCAGCAAAGTTCTAAGTCGACCTCGTTTCCTCCAATTTCAGGACTAGATGATGATGATCTATACTTTGACGACGGAATGATTGGTCTGGAGGGAGAAGCTGATTCAGGTGAAAATGCGGGCGCTTTTGATGAATCTGTATTTGACAACAACGACACGGATCAATATGGACGACCCATAAAAGATCAATTTATGGCTAGACAAACATCTAATACTGTTTCAACCAACGCTGCCGGCATATCAGAGGAAATAAAAGAGGATACACTCTCACCATTGTCTCCGACGGTTAATCGACCAGTTGGAGGTTTAGCACCACAACCATCTTTCTCCGAAAACAGAGGCTCAGGCGCACCAGCTCAAACAATAACTCAATCTTTAACGCAAGATAAGCTTGCTGAATATCAGGCTTCACTTGCGGCAGCTGCTTTTAGTGCAGCGGCCAGTGGAAAATTCCGACGTGATAGCACACAGAGTATATTTCACATTGACTCGGATCGCGAAGAAAATCAACCTGACTTAGTTCCAGATTCAGGTCATACCTCTTCCCAATATGAACATTTATCCTCGTCTTATGATGACTTTGATTACGACGATGCACTAGAAGATGATGAATTCATCGCTGCTGCCAATGCAGAAGCGCTGGCTAATGATCAGGATGGATTTTATGGTCAAGAATTTGGGTTTTACTCGCATCCTGCAGCTAGCTCGGCAGAATATATAAATGGTGGGTATTTTGGTCCAAGGGGAATGGATGGTATGATACGAAGTCAAAGCGGGAGAATCGCGTCTCGGGAACCTAACCTCACACCTATTACCGAGCGTTCAGAATATTCGAATCGTAATTCCTTCATGTCGATTTCACATCTACATGCCCCGTCAGGTAGTTCTCCGATGATTAGTCCAGGGTTAGCACAGTTGATGATTGCGGAAGATTATCAGAGGGCTTCGGATATGAGCTTGGAAGCATTGTTGAAGTTGAGGAGTCGGGCATGGGGTGGGAGTCAGGCTAGTGTGAAGAGTCTGGGCAGTAATGGGAATGGAAATGGCAGCCCGAAGAGTGTCGATGGGGGTGGTAGTCCTGTGGCTGGAGGACCATTTGTACAACCACCTTGGGGACACCGCAGGAAGAGTAGCGCGTTTAATCTTGTAAGTGAAGAGGCGGAGAGAGAGGTTGAGGATACGGGAAATTTGAATACGAATCTATCGTCGCCCGAATTGGAAGAAAAGCAAGCGCCGGCGAGAGATTTATCATCAGGAAATGAACATGAAGGAGATGTCGAAAAAGTTAGGAGACCATCATATACCAAACAACACAAATCCAACGCGAGCGCGGAGTCTATCAGCTACTCCAAAGAGGACGATCCGATCAAAGGCGAGAGATGGGTATTAGAAAGGAGAAGAACGGCCGATAGCGGGGAGGTGGAAGTCTTGGGTCGGGAGGTCCTGAATGGTGGTGCTATTTAAGTCTCGCAGTACATTGTGAATGAATATAAGTTATGCCTTTGCATACATTTTCGGCGGTTCGCGGTCTTGTTTTTGATGGCTTGGGTTGGGTTGGAGGCTTCTTGTGTGTTTTAGATGGGTATATAGTGTTTTTTTTTTGGGTGGCTGGGAGGCATCATTAGGTTGGGTGGGCGGGATGTTGTTTGAGGTTTGAGGTGGTGGATATATGTAACGTAATACCTTGAAGGCGAAAGCTGGAATTTGAAAATTGGAAGCTGGAAGTTAGTGGTAGTTTGATATCCGGATCTGTGTTTTACAATTACAGGAGTATTCTTTTTATCATGTGATTGTTGAGGAGAGATTGTGTAGAAGGTTTTATGGTTGTGTGGTTGAATTGGTGGATTTGTGATATTTGTGAAATGCCTCACCTAACTAACTAGCTAGGTAGGTACATAAAGTTCATTCATCCAACTACCAGAACCAAAGCATAAATTTATCATCCATCCAGACATACTCGAGTATAAATCATGTACCAGTTTTTCTGAAGATCTGTCGGATGAATCGTGTAGGATAGGATAGCTTGAAAATAATACGGTCCGAATAGCGTCAAACTTTATAGTCTAGTTTTATTAATAGATATTCAATCTTTTGAAGGAGGTCAGACTGTGGATTATTGCATTCGGATTGTACGAAAACCTTCCCAGCCTCTTCGATTATTTCCTGTAAGTTGAGTTGAAGTTTGATTTATAGGATCGTAGAGAAGTGCAAAATATTGAGTTAGAAAGTGAGTGCACCTCTCGACTACGCTAGAAAGTTAAAGATGGTATTGAATGGCAGGTGATAAAGTGCAACGTGAAATGTCAAAATGGTAATGTGAAATCTAAGATGATTTTTTATTTGAATTGATATATTAACTGTTATATGAAAAGCTTAGATTTATTAGGTAATGTATGTGGGAGATTCTTGCTTTTAGATAGCTAGGTATTCATAATGCCAAGCATTACCCCTTCGCTTCCATTGGAAGATTGTCACGTGTTTGGGGGTAGCTAGCTCCTTGATGAACGAACGACCTTGTGGTACGGCTGGGAGGGGAGTGTGTAGTTTACTTTAAGTGTATGATTTTGTAGAGAGCTCTGCGGCTAATATGTGGTTTAGGCTTGATCGTTAAGATAGTGGGAAGGTATGTCATTTGTGTCGACGTCATTAACGCTCATGGCGAAGGCGACAGCGGGCTTAAGGGAGTAGAAGCTGGAGGAGGTATACTCAGGCCTACTTCTGATCTACACCGTATGGATTTGGAAAGGGATTGAGGAGAGATGTGTAGTGAATATCGCGAAGTTCTTCGCAATTGGCCAAACGATAAACTTCACTTCACTTTACTTTACTTTACTTTCGAACATCAACGACAATGTTTCGTCTAATTTATTTCATTTCCAGCCTCCTCTCTTCAAGGTAGCCTATATTCAAAGCAAGTGAATTGAATGCAAATTTTCTAGCTTGGTTTCTACACACAATCGAAATACTTTCAAAATCTCAATTTTCTTGCGATTTATTCTTCTCAGGAACGCGATACATCAACAACGAAAGGATACCAAAGTACAACTCTAGTTGAGCTTACTTATAAACCCAATCTTCTTCTCAAAGCAATGCGCAGGTTTTGCAACCCATCTCACAATCAATTCCTTGTGTGCGTACCATTCAATACTCCTCCTTTGGAGTCTTTCGTACCAATCGACTTCTCTTTTGAGATATATTTTGTCCATATACCTTTCTATTATTTCCCCTTTACCTTCTTGCGTCTTCTCGCCATAATTTCATCTCTTCCTACTCATCCGGTCAAAAGACATTTCCTGGGGAAATCTCTTCCGCCTAATCAATTATCTGATTCAATTTTACTGCTTGTATCTATCTACCTTACAACCACCATTTTTCCCTACGGCTCAACTTTCTTCTTTAACTCGTTGACATCTGCAACTACCTTCGACTTTATTGTAAATTGCGACTATTGGCATATACATACACAGCCTTTACTTTATTACTACATTGAAGAAGTACGTCGACCTCTACCGTCGTAGAGAATTCACCATTCGAAAACTAAGACTTAGTTCGGCAATTTCACTACGTCTTACAAAATAACTGAATGGGAAGTACTTAAAAGCTATTTGCGACTTCAACTCTTGTCACCAAAACATTCGGTACGTCGAAGAACTACTTCTACGACGTTTATCGTGGAGTTTTTACTTCAGGAGAACTTTGTTTATTTACCAACTTCTGCGGTCTCACTGTAATTGAACTACCCCTTCATACTCATTGTAAGAGCTAATAAAGACTAAGTGTGTTCGGTGTCTCGAACGCAGACTATCCAACTGAGTTGTCTTCTCTTTACTTATCTGCCGCGAAGTTCTTAAGAGGGTTCTTCATTATCAGCGTAATTTGCAACTCTTTGCACTCGTTCTTTGCAGTTTACTGACAAATTTCAGGTATTTCTCGATACCCTCGAATATTCACACCTCTACGAATTTTCCACATCTTACATTCACTTCCATAATTTAATACGAGATTACATCAAGATGTCTTCAACACATATACCAAACAGTCCCCAAGCTTCTCCTCTCAGTAAAGGCTCTGATATCAAGTGTGTCCAAACCACCAAAGGATGGGTCTGCGCTCTTTGCTTTCCTCTTAGACATCCTAGCCGTGCCCTTGAGCGCGTTCTAAGCCTTGTTGAGCTCAAGAGTCATGCAGCCGGTACTCATTATGCTTCTCTTGGAGAACACGAGTGGGAGAACTATGGTAATTAAAATCAATCACTTCCCACTATCATTTTTTTGCTAACCATAGCTATAGTCAATCAGTCTGTTTACTACGAGGCTCAATTCAGAGGTCAAAGTAATGTCGGTTTGAACGGCGGTGTTATGCATGGTCCTCCTACCATTGCTTCTCAAAAGACGATTGCCAACAAACCTGGTGTTCTAAAGCGCAAGTACGTTAAAAAGGCCAAACCTGCAGCTGAGACTTCTTTTGATCTTATGGAAACTATGATCAATTTCGGTGAAAGGGATTCCAAAGATATGATCAAAGGTTTTGCTTCTCCTGGAGGCAATCAGGATGGAGACAGCGAGATGAATGATGTTGACTCTGTATCGACAACCCTAAAAGCTTATACTGGTTCCTTCTCCAATCCATCTACTGCTCAACCTCAACGTTTCATGCACCCAATGAATACAGCACATCTTGCAGAATCACCAGCTTCCTTACAGACTAGCACTGATTCTTTTTATAATCAGTTTGTTGCTCGAAACCAATCCAGCATACATTCTATGGACGTATCTCAGATTAACACAACTAAAACTACTCCTCACACTGGCAATGTCTCCTACTGTAACACATCTGTTGCTAACTATGGCATGCATCAAATGGGTGTGTCCAAAATGGGTGCATCACCAATCAACACACAGTCTGGCATCAGTTCTCTCAACAATCCATCTACTAACCGCCAATTCGGTATGGATTCAATGGATATATCTCAAGATACCTCATCACCGAGCAAACCATCTCGCAAGAAGGCTGCTGCCTCTAAGAATCCTCTCCGTCAACGCTTAAGCGAAAATCCCTCATTCGAGTCCGCCGTCTCTGTTCATGGTCTTGCTCGAGTTCAAGCAGCGGGTAATGCAGGTCTCCAAAGATGTCTTGATAGACAAGCTCGTGGTCTTCCACGCACATCTAACATTCCGCTCTCATTGAATTCGTCTCCTCCTCGTAATAGCACTATGGGTCTTCCCCTTAGTGCTGCTAATTACGCTGCTGCTGGTATGCCAAATCTCCATGTTGAGAAGGCTATGAGACATACCAAGAAGGCTGATCGTCGTCGTCAAGTATCTCTTTCTCTCAGTAACACTGATGTGGAAGACAACATAACAGCTTCCGCTGACCCTCTTCCAACCAATCCCTCTCTTAATGATTTTGGAGTTCCAGCTGCTATCTTTGGACAAGCTCCTGCTGCTATTTACAAATCTCATACATACAAATCTATCTATGCCGAGTCGATTCCTCCTAAGGAACATCCTCCTTCTGGGTCTTCCTTTTTCGACTTCGCCTTCTCCAAAATGTCACAGCTTCATACAAACAATGACGTTATTCAACAGGATCCTTCATGTCAAGTAGGAACAATTGGACTGTTTGATCATGGTCAAAACACTGAATTCACGGACTCTTTCGTCTCTGGTATCCTGGACGAAACCTTCGGAGCTTACAGTAGCGGGCACCAAAACATCACCAAACATTCCGGACGCAATATATCCCGCACTTTAGAGCCAGATCAGTTGCTTAATGATGTGGGCCTTGATGGTATTTCCGAAGTCTTCGACTTTAATGCATTTGTCGCCGACCCCAACTACAACACTGACGACAATTCAACTGTCGACGATACGATCCCACAACAGAACACAGGTACCTTCAATGTGTCCTTCGCCACCTCTGATATCCCAGAGCAAAGCCCCGCCCCACAACACAATACAGCTAAATTCGACGACTTCTTCTCCGCAGCTGGAATTCCTAAGAAACATGACTCTGAACTTAACGCTATGTTCGGCTTTGGTAATCCATCTTCTCCTACAAATACAACTCATAATTTCGAAATCTTCCATACTGCTTCTTTGGAGTATGGTGCTGCGGGTCTAGAAGCTGTCAAGGCTGCTCAAGCTGGTGTTTCTGCTGGTGAGCCCTTATCTCCATCTAGTTCGACCGGTTCTTTTCCTGTTATTGTAGATTTTTCTACTTGTACTATGGGGGCTCTTTCTTCTTTAGCTGAAGCTTCTGCGGCGGATGGTAATGCTGTTCAAGTTCCTGAGGATCTTTCCCCAGTTACGTCGACCCCTTTATCTCCTGTTGCTGAGTCTTGGTCTCCGGTTGAAACTCCTCGGGGTATCGAGTCTCCTGCTAATACTAATACTTCTACACATCTGAATGCTAGATCCAGTGCTACAATCGAGCGGCAAGTTTCTGAGATTAAGAAGTTAACAGATCAACTTGCTCAGCGAAATTCCAAGATAGCAGCTAGCACTACCACGAAATAGCCTGCTACCAAGCAAACTATTCTCTCTAGAAAACCTTACAATAATACCAAAAAGTTTTTTATCGCTAAGAAACATGTTGTTCCTGCCGATCGACGCTCAGTTTACCTTACAACTACCAAATGGTACCGCAGTAAAAAGACCACTGTTCCTACTAACAACGCCACCAATACAACGCATCGAGCTCGTGCTTCTAGACAAAAGGCTGTATCTTCCGAGCCACTTCTTACTCCAAGGAAGCGAGCCGCTTCTCCTGAATAGCCTTCTGGTGATAAGAAGCGAAATACCGATGACAAATCTCGATTTTCTTCAAGCAACGAGGCGAGAAAGAGTATCCCTGATGCAAAGAGAGGAAGTCTTTGTATCACTGACATTGAAGCTCTGGCCAAGAATCCACAAAAGATGGTTAGGGAGACAATTGAGAGAATGCCTACAGATTCGTTAAGTATTAAGGGTCCGCTTCGAAGACTAACTCCAAGTCTTTCTGCTTTTAGGTATTAGTTTTATGATATTGTTCTGGATTGGACATTGCGTACCTATTTGGTATTGGGAATTTGGGGCACCCTGGATCATTTGGGGTGTATTGAAGGATTTGGAGTTTATATAGGTACTAGATTTGTGGTTCGACAAATCTTTAATATTATATAGGGAATTGAGCGTGGTTTGTGGTTTCTTGAACGGAAATGGTAGAATGCAAGGTATGAAGTTCCTAGTACAGGATGAAATCAAGATTGTTGGGATGATTTGAGGTAGAGAGCAAGATTGGGGATGGAAGAAGATAGGAGATAGGTACTATAAATTTATGAAACATGAAATTCTATGAATATTAAGTACTTTTTGATTTAATTGGTTTGTTTTTTGATTTAATATTTAGTTTTGTGATGAATTGTGAGATTTAAAGGCGTGTAGATTATGGTGAATATCGAAAAATGAAAGAGTCACAAAGTAGTTCGTATTGAAATGTAAGATTTCATAATTTGATATCGATGTCATTCGCCACATGCGTATACTACTTCATTATTAGGACGGTATTTCAAGATGTTACATCTTGCTAGAGATAATAAACTTATTATTCTAGACCGAGAAATCTTACAGAGAGGTATCCTCCCCGTATTCCGCTTTGGCACATTCGAAATACCTTCTTCTTGCAGCCCAGATACCGCGGCGGATAGCTCTAAGCCTCATCGCCCTTATAAATGACTTATCACCTCATTTTGTGCCCTTGCCAGAAACTGCCGCAGTGACAGGTTCATTGGTTCCACCAGATTCAGAGAAATCTTCGAGAAGAGTATAAAATGCGTATTATTCCTGAAGTTTTTTGGTCTTATCGATATTCCTCTGCTACTTTTTATTCTCCTTCTCTTCTTTTCCCAACGGCTCTCCCACTTCCTTCTTTTGCTTCTCCTGCTCTTGTTTCCAGATTTTCGATGTACCCTCTAACTCTACTCTCTCCTTCTCTTGCATTTTACCACCTTTCCTTCCCCGTTCCATTTTCTCTCTCTCCTGTCTCTCCTCAGCTTCTCTAGACCAAATCTTATATAGAACCCCCATTTTTAGATCATCTTCGAGATCCTCAGCATCATGTTTCTTCTCCGCGTCTTTGATTAGACGTTCCAATTCCTTCAAAAGTGTCCTTGCCAATTCCAATCGCATCTTCTTCCAATCTCTCTCAATTCCTCTCTTCTGCCTCTCATTTTCTTTGTGTTCTTTCTCATCCTCATTGTCGACGTCCTCTACCTTTTTGCCTTTGGATGACACGATCCATGTTCCCCAGTTGCTCTCTCGTGCCTTTTTCCTCGTCTCAAATGCTTCAATGTTATCTAGAGTCTTGATTTCCTGCTGCAGCCATTGAATTTCCTTGTGCAGCTCCAATATTGATGAGTCATAGGAATTTTTTAAAGCCTGCCATTCCACCTCACGTTCTTGTTTAGACTTTTGAAGTATAGCGATTTGTGCCGTCTCACTGAGTGCCTCCGATTTTCGAGTGTGAGGTCTTTGTTCGGCTTGAGGAGAGGAGGCCTCTGAATATTGGGTTTGAGATGTCTGTTTGGCTGGAGTGTTCTGTTTGGCTTGAGGGTTCTGTTTGGCTTGATGGTTCTGTTTTGCTAGAGGATTCTGTTTGACCTCAGGAGGAGCGCGAACCTTTGGCACAGAAGGGTAAATAAGGTCATAGGCTTGGCGCTTGTCTCCGTCCCTCAGCGTCTCGTATGCTTTCCCGAGCTTCAATATTAAACCTCAGCTTATAAATCCTGACAATCGACAAGTCGAATTAGCCTAGGCCTGAAAATGAACGTACCAATTGAAAAGCTTCAGTAGCATCGTGCCTAGGATTCTTATCTGGATGAAGCTTTAGCGCTTGCTGTTTGTAAGACTTCGTGATCTGATCGAGTGTAGCTGTTTGCACCACTTCAAGAATCATATAATAATCATCGGTAACTGATACAAGCGACATTTCTCATCAATGTGTTCTTAAAAGTACTTGTAGTATCGGCTTGGAAGAAATAAACATGACTAATCTTGTTGAGATTGTTAGAGTCTCATTGCTATGAGTATCTGTTTGTTGCCTTTTGCAGGTGAGATCGCACTGCGCTTTCCTTGACTCAAAGAGAAACTTTAAAGGTAATCAGAACCTTGACGAGGTACTACACATGCGACATCCGAAAACAACACTCCGTGAGAGTAAACAGTTAACTAATTTCAGCATCTATAGTGAAAGTTTGCTTGCATAGACACTTGGCCACGATATAATGAAGCCTTCGAGGCCCAAGTGAAATTTATGTGATTAAGTGAGAGCACTACAATAACCCTACAATTATACCTCATCACTTGATGGTTGTCGATTCCCGAAGATACATCGATAGCTTGATATCTCGATCTCATATAAAGCCACTTAGCCACTCGCTGTAATCATTTCATGGAGGGAAAATACTTCAATTTGATCAAATATCACGTATGTTACTCCTCAGGCTTGGTAAGATGTTCAACGAGTTGATTAGATTCTCGATCTTTAAGCGGATAATATGAATCACCTTGATCCAGAATAGTGATGCCATGTTTAGTAGCATAGGTTTAGATTGTATCCGACGTGAAAATAGACTCGAAGGTGAGTGATAGAAAAAATACCCCATCACCCAAATGACCCGTCTCGCTCCGATTGGTGGATATAATTGATCAATCAAGCTCGTGAATTGTTAGAATGGTAAGTAAGACTTACAATTTAGGTTTAGGTTTATCCGCGCTCCGATTGCATCACTGTCAAACATTGAACAACATCAAACTTCGACATCTATCAATATACTGACGGAAAGAATACATCATTTTGAAGATACCTGCATGAAAAAGACTCGGAAAATCCTTGGGCCTATGCTGCACCTCAGCGAGACGAGAATGCAATTCCTAGCTCTGCTAGAAGTATCTTCAACTACCGCTATCCGGAGCTTCTTACGCCGACTTGTGAAAATACACCTGGGTATCTTCGCTTTTGCTTTACGTCTAATTTTTCAAGTTTAATAGCTTCCATCCAAGAATATTCTTGATCCAGAGACTACTTCTATATTCGTACAGCCGCAGGATGGAGTTCAATGTAGCCACAGAAGGAGCCCTCTGGATTGGGGACTAGTTGTCTCGGTACTTCCATGAAGTTCCGCTTGAGTGAATGACAAAAACAACTTCAAGTTCTACAAGTGAAAGTGAAGCCCACATTCAAATCTAAGGGAATGTAGTGCATGGGTGATTGTTATAATTTTGAATGGATGCTTGCCGCTTTGTGTATGTCAGATATTTTTTGGACAGACAAAAAAGCACTGTATTTTTGTTGCATTTATTTTTATTTCCTCACTGTCATGGGTGCGATATCTTGCAATGCAAAAAAAAATCAAGTCTTCGATATGAATTGAATTCAATTCTGAACTCGGCAACATGCTACTGCCTAGCCACTACCATTACTCTCCAATTCGGCCATGATGATTCTCTTCCACAATGACAAGACGACAGAGCCTTGGTGCATAACTGTGCGATCCCCATCCTAGCCATCCCTCCGCTAACTACCCTTCACAGTTCCCTCTTCATTTCGATTCCCTTACTGCTTGTAGCATGGAGTACGGTCAAGAGACTCAGGGATGGTGGCGCACTTGTAAGCTCCTCCAGCGGCGCAAGCAGTTCCAGGACCTCCGACACCGTTGGTACCGTCAGCGCGGTGAGCATTAGCGCAGTACTTGTTGCAATCGAGGTTTCCAATCTCAGCATCCTGTTCAGAAGGTTAGTTTCCGAGCTGATTGAAATACATGGATACAAGCCAAAGGCCTAATGGAACTTACTGAGTAGACACAGCAGTGACCACCGTTTGAGAACTCGCACTGGCAGTATGTGCAAGCTTGCACCGAAAGGGCGCTGGCGATGAAGAATAAGGCGATAGAGGCGATGCGGACCATGTTGGCGGTAGGTAATTGAGATGGTTGGTGATTTGAGAAGTGTTGATTACGTTTGAATGTGACTGGAGAGCTGATAGAGAATACAACCTCAAGCTGGGAGATATTCATCTTCTTATACTTATTTTTCCAGCTGGCGGTCTGTTTAAACTTTCTCGCATACTCGGATTCTCATCACTGCCCGGCATGAGCCGTCAGAGATATGTGTATCTATTACTTCATACACCAAATGCGATGAATCCATCCTGTCACCAATGTTCCTGCATATCACCCGTTATTAGACCGCAGGGCTGCCAACTAGGATTTCCCCCTCTCCGAACTTTTACCTTATTGATGATTGCCTGACGGTATCCTTACCCCGTACTTTCCCAACCACGTAAAATACATGCTCATGTATGCCCCACCTACAACCACTCGGGACCGGCATTCATCAATCCCGCATCAATCTCATCGCGATCGCAAAGCGGGACTAAACAGCATTAGAGAACGAATTTGGGACCTTTTGAAAGGGGGTCAAATACATGTTTGAACCATTAGACAGCCAGAGCATATGGAGATTTGGATCCCGAGCCTCGATGGAAGAGTGAGTCAACTCCCTCAATCAATCACAAGTATCTGGAGTTCGACTTCAGTTCTGGACCCACAAAACGGTTGACTAGTCCCACTCAAAAAAGATTTCCAGAAAAAAGCTTGAATTGAAGCTTGCATGATCGGCACACCGTATTCGGGCACATGTCGGGGTAGTTTAACGTTTTATGGAAGTATGGATCATATGAATAATGCTTAATCCGGTAGTTTCATAGCAGGATTCGGATATAGACTATAGAGTTCCTGAGCCCTGGATATGTTAAGGCGGTAATCTAATTAAATTAACTAATATAATTAAGCTGTTGTAGGCATATGCAGAAAACACCTTGACAGTAGAATTCAGGTGATGTATCGTCTAATTAGGTTTAGACGTCCTGGTTGGCCAGTGCATTAAGTTGACAGGTGAACGCTCCTGCGTTCCATTTTTCACCTCCACTTTATGTGACATGATGTCGTTAGGATTCACATTCATACAATATCGCGCCGCAGTCGCAAAGCCTATGAGTTGAGGGAAAACTTTATTTGACAGGCCACTTTCGCACAAGCTTCGGGTGTTCTCCCATCAAGCCTTTTACGTCAAGCGAGGTCGTAATACATAAGGTTATTCCCATCTCCCCACGTGCTTGGTGCGGCTGATGCCATGTACGGAGTAGTTATGTTGATCTTTATCTAGCTAATCGAAGATCCATTTCTTTTACCCCTTTATAATCTTAATCTTAGATAAGGGGCCTCAGAAATTCATTACTTTGTCGGTTTTATATATACTTTATACAATCGAAATGGATAACTCGTGCAGCTAGAAAAGTAGGCAGTCATGTCTCCTTCCTAAATAGGGTTAAAAAATTGCGGGGAAATATCTTGAGGTCCTGGGTTTTGATGGGTATAGGTCCCTCTAATATATGCTAGGTACGATAACCGAGGAAATTCGATTGGTGGAATGGTTTCATTGGCCAAATTAAGTTCTAAACACCGATATGGCGTCGGTGTCCGTATACTCTGTACTTTCTGGCCGCATCAGTATTTGAATTTTGAATATAGTATTGGATTTATTACTATTAACTTATTATTCTGATAATTTCAGTATATCTTCAGATGTATAGCTGTGGAATTGGAAAAATGCTAACAATGAATTGTTAGGAATCTGTTAAATACTGAAGCCCTTTCCCTCATTGATATAATTTAAAGAATAAAAGTTATCCCCAAAATTGGCAGTATTACTATGAAGTGGGTTTTTCCCGTGGTCTGTCTAGATCGACAGCTGTGATAGATGTACATTAGGTTTTGTACTCTAACTCTAAGTCTGACTCTAATATGGAGTTTTTTAAGTTATATATCCTTGGAAATGGCGGTGATACTAGGTATTAACCATTTAAAATGATGTGTGTTGAGTTCTTTAATCATTTGGTGTTAGCAGTGATGATCTCAAGCTCCAAAGGTGAAACCTAGTAGGTAACCACTATAACTTAGACCCCGTCCACCTTGATCTTGTTTATGATGGCTCTTTTCGGCTAGCTAAATCCATACACAAACGGCTACTATAATTGCTTGTATCTAAATTGAGAGGTTCCTTACGCAACGAATTTTCAAAAGAACTGGAAGTCATCGGCATTTGACTGCAATAGAGAGGACGGAGAATTATCTTAATCTTGTAAGAAATCCCTTCTTGTCCCGCTGACCATTTCCTATGCATACAGAACTCGTATTTGTGCCTGCAGAATCGTGCGAATTTGGAAACTGGTATTCATCATTAACAGAGTGGCGATGTGCCAAGCAGACAAGAGCATTATACTTGGAAACAATTTCAGAACCTAAGGATCTCAGAGTCATTAATTAAACTTAGATATAAGCTATAGCTCTGCCATGATGGTCGACACAATTCAGGCACGGAAGTGTAAGTTAGATCTCACATTATTGTCTCGAACTGGAAGCCTACTGTTGTACACAATGTGCTAGATTTCTGCTGAACCACAGAAGTCAAGCTGGAAGTATCGTCTGGAACCCGAAAACACCGATACTTAGATTTGGAAATTTGGAAAAAGTTCATGAGACTGCTGGCGAGATGAAACATGGGCGTCGATGTCGATCAGTTGATAACTGCCTCTTCGAAACACTGGCGTATTCAAGAGAATAAGTAAGACGAGTTGACACAAGAATCTCTGAAAATCAAATCTTTCGAGGGGTTCAGATCATGAAGAGGCCATGAGAAGCTAGAAGAGAATTGAATGTAAGATCTTATGTCATTTAGAATAAGAAACAAGCAGGTAGGGAGGATGTAGGATTGAGATTCTAGCAAAATAGAACTTCCGTATCTCTACATAAGAACTTACTGAGCACCAAGTCCACATGATAGGCATTATGGCAAAAGATAAATGATGTTGAACGCATGACAAAAACTTTTGATGATGTACCGTTATGATGAATTGAACTCGCAACAAATTGGATTTTCTAAATGTTCATTCGTCTGGTTGAATCGCTAGTTAAAACTCCGACCATGGCCAGACATTCCTGAAATGTGTGAATGGAGGATGATACTAACATGGGAAGAACGTGATAATACTGGAGCAAGGAGAAATAAGTTTTGAAGAGAAGGATTATTCAACATTCAATCCCAAAAAATGTGAGCTTCAGCAACAAAATGTTGTGAACTGATGGACACTTCTGCGAAAAAGAACAATACACAAACATCTCAACCCCCCAAAAAAGTAACCACAGAGTTCCAAAGACATTTACTTGTCAGAACAAGTACTAACTTTCCAACAAAGTGCTATAAATCCAACACAAAAACCCTTGACACAAACAGCGTACTCCTACCTCGCATATTAATATTCCCCACACCAACCTACCCAACACGAAGCGAACCCGCGTACCCAGACATGCAACAAAAGCGCAAGCGATGACAAAGCCCGCACTCTCAACTCGGGGTAAAACCCAGACATGCAACAAAAGGTGAGAAAATAGACATCTATTCGTTGAAAAGAAGGTACTCGAATCGTACGATGCTGAAATACCACGTCGTACGAGGCGACGTTGCATGATTTTGGTAAATTAAATTGTTGGTGTTCGGGTTGAAACGGAGGGGTTCTCAAGCGAACCAATGTATTTGCTGTGTTGTTGGCAGGCTTGTTTTATTCGTCTGGATGGGGCGGTTCTATTTGCTCTAGAAGCTTTTATATACTCGTCCCCAGTAGGAAGAATTTGAGAATATTCTTTCTGGGAGTTCTGGATTGCTATTCGGGCTTTTTGTCTGATAACATGTCATCGGCTTCTCCGATGGAATCTAGCTCGAGGTTACACCTAATTCCTAAAGTTTGTGATTTCCATTCCTTCTCCTCATTGGTCCTTACACTTTCTGAGGAGCAGGAAGGTCATAGATTTAATTCCTTGCTAGCTAAAATTGGAATTGTAGTGGTGAAGTTCTTCGAGATTTCGAGATATTTTGAAGTTTGCTGCCGAAGGTAAAAATGTTCGCAGGTTTCATGTAAGGGCGTCGCGACAAGAAGCAAATGGTTAAAACTAAACTACTCGAGTATCATTTTCACGTCCATAAAAGTAAGTTTACTCCCATGTGAAAGTCAGGGAAAGCACCTGTATTCGCATTTTCATGCACAACAATCATCCTAGCCTAATTCATCCCCGCGCCTTTACCTTCATCTACAACCGACCTCCTACAATCATACAATTTTCCTTCTAAACTGCACTGCCGGTTCATACTTCAAACTAACATCGGCATCTTTCAAGAGAATTGTCCCTCTTTTCCCATTCCCAAACCCAAGAACTTTCCCCTCCTGACCCTTTTCATTCCTTCTAACAACCTAACATCCACTCTCCTCCAAAGTGTCCTCGCAAAGCTATTCAATAATTCCTGCATTGCCATCTTCCTCCCTGCACCATTCATCGACCTAATCTGAAAAGGATCAAACCCCTCTCTCGTACGAGCCACATATTCAACTAGGCCAATGGAAAACCTCAATATGTAGGTTCAAGTCAAATAATGGTAACAGCTCATCGCGAAACAAAAAATCACTGAATTGAAAATTCCTTCCACAATCATAAGAAAATAGCCACCAAAGTATAACTCTATAAAAATCATCTCTCGAGTGTACAGCTATCAAACTTACTACAAAGTATTATTTACTAACCAAAACTCCACCGGACAAAGGCCCCCAGCCAACAGGAAAAGGAAGATATGCGCTCAAAATTTTGCCTTCATATGGCTACCACTATATTAATCACTATCACTAGAATTTCAAACCCCTTCCTTTCGAAGGCAGATCCATCTTTCAAATCCTTCCTTGCATTATTTTATTTTCTTCTCACACATCGCTCCCCTGTCCCTCAATATTTACTCTAGTTGTAAATCATTTCGTGCACTTACTCAACAAGGATATTACCAAAAGCATCTGATATTTCTCTCCGTGTAGGTGGCAATTGCATCTCCGGCTGCGTGGAAACACCGACAGCAAGTCTTTCCTCCATTAACTTGATTAAAACTGGCGGAACACTTTCATCAGTTGCTCTAATGGTGAGGCGAACCATCTACGTATCGTAATTAGCATTAAAATCCCACGAAGGGGGGTAAGAGTTTAAACCTGAGTCCCATAATTCGGCTCCAATCTCAACAAACATCCAAACTTGCCTCCCTCGCCAGTATGCAGCACACTGGCACCAACGAAGTTCTTCCTGTTAGGATCTACCCCATCCAGAATGCCCCATCTAAAGCCATCTATGGTCCTTCGAACAAATCCATCAGTGAATTCACGAATTCCGCCCTTACCACCCTTAACGCCAAATATGCGTTGAGCCTCACGTGGTGCTCCTCCGATTTGCTTCCAACGTTTGAAGAAGTCGTCTGCTGATAATTCTGCTGGGTCCATGAATTTGTGTATGGTGATTGGAAGCTTCAGTGTCAAAGCTTGGAGAGCCCCAGCCAAGTAACTGATCCTAATCGTTGGACTTTTTTCAAATACCTTTCTCGATTCAAACATTATCATTTGTTGACTTTGTGCACCTTGTTGAATTGTGCTTTCTGGTAAACCTTTTACCTCCCATGTTAAGTTCTCCTTCTCGCTCGGTTCGAGATCGAGTGTTGTGGTGAACGAACTGACAGAGGACGGGGATTTGTTGGAGAAGTATAAAATGACGCATGCCATCTGGCCACGATATTCGGATCGCACTCCAATTTGAATTTGCCCATCTTCGTAAAGTACACCCTCCGCTTTTAGAAGTAGTTTATTATATCCGATTTCCCAATCTGGTGAAAGATGGGCCGCGCTTGCGAGGTTTGGCGCTTTCAGGGTTTTTGGCTCCGACGGACCTTGATCCATGAGATTTAATCCGGCAAGGTCGTTGCCCGAGCCATTGGTGTGCCCGTTCGTACCATTAGTACCCCCGTTAGCTCCAGTGGCATTGGCTATTGCTCCGTTTGTGCTAAAAGTACGCTTTAGACCTGGGTTCTTGGCAACCACAAAATCTTTCTCATTAGCATTGGCATCTTTACCTCCCACAATCCAAGTCCGCTTATCACTCGTACCAGCATGCTTTTGGTGTAGCCGCGAAAGTAATGCTGATTGACGTTCTGGGAAAGGTGGCATTTCATCGCAGACCGTTCGAAGTAGATCATCGGTTGGTAGGCTTGCTAACGCCAAATATTCACAAGCTCTTTGCTGAAGTTCGGAATCCAAGGTATGACTGTATGCTTGGAACACATACATAAGTCTAGGTTTAATCTCTGGGAAAAGATTGACAAATTTGATAAAAGATGATAGGATGATTGCTCTTGTACTGGATGAGCAACCTTGCAGTTTGCCCTGTAATGCAAGGTACTGCTCGATTGGGCTACAACCTTTATCCTCTGCAATCAAGTGGCCGAATTCGCCAAGTATGTATCCTCCGATTTTCACAAGTGTCTCGTGACAGTGGTCTGCTTTTACATACTGTAAAATATTCTGCGCTGCATAAACTTGGAGCTCTTCGTTATTTGTGACGATTTGAATGACTCGGTGCCAAACTTCGTCACTAACATGATCACCGGCCATTGCAATAAGTCGCAATGATATGTCAACATACCACTGAATGTCAGTGGCATATTTCTCGGTCAAAATGGCAATTTTCAAAACCATTTCTTCTCGGATGGCAAAATCTGCATTTTGAAGATATTGCAAGAGCTCGCCAACAATGGGTTGTGCGTTGGTTTGATCACACATACTGTATAGTAAATCCAAACCTTTCCTCCGCACACTAATATCTCTATCTTTTAGGGATCCAATAATAATCGCCTGATGCTGCTTAATTGGATCTAGGACATCAGCCCTTGCAGCCAAATGTGTCATGGCTTCCAAGCCAAGATATCGAACATTTGTTTCCCGTGATTGGATGAACTTCCCGAGTCTTATTGAGATCTGTCTCATCAGATCCACTTCGGTGTCGAGGTGAATGACAAGATTGATGGCCTCAAACAAAACCGCATTTTGTGCGTTGTTTTGCTGAACATTTTTAGGCATATCGGACGCATCATCCAGGATTCTTTGTATGGATTTCCGAATCAAGTCTCTCACATGTATGTCCTCTAGGCATTGTTAGCAAAAGACATCACTGCAATAGTAGAACATACCTGATGCGGGATAATATTGTAACAATCTTAAAAGTTTCATCTGTAGCCATGGGCACGGCACTTTGTAATAAAGATAGTCTTGGCCGAATTCTTCATCCACGACTATTCTCTTGATTCTTGCTGCAGCTTTAACATAACATCCTTTGTATTGCTCAGGATTATCTTGAGCAAGAGCCATAACGAGCGAGGTGACCGAGAGAGCAACACCAATGTCAACATCGTCCATTAAAGATATAATTCGTTCCGCCCATTGCGCTTGCACTATATCGGGGTGTTTTCGATAGAGCCGAAGAAGAGTCAACGCTGCCTTCTTTTTGACAAACGGTTTGGATGTCCTGCTATAGTATTAGAGGTGACACAGAACGGAACATGACACGAGCTTTCTCACGGTGATATCAAGAGCCTATGGACCTCCCCGCTCAACGCCTCTCCCATTTCTCTTCCACCCACATTGGCAATGGCATGCAATGCCAAGCAGTTAAATAATTCATTGTGATCCGTCAAGTCTTTCCTAATGCTGTTCACAACCAAGTGTATCAATTCGTGTCCTTCATGAAGGAACAGGGTCATCGCCAGGTATCCAATTTGCTTTTCCGAGTATTTAGTCGCAGATATAAGATTAACTGCTTCGAGATGGCCAAAGTCGACATTCCACCCAAGGATGTATATGTATAAGAGCTAGAAAAATGCTCATTAGGGGTGAATTGCACGAGAGGCGGTGGAACAAATTACCTTGCAAACGTATTTCTTCTTATGGTAACCACTGAGATTTCCATCTATTCATCACAATTAGCTACGCCCCTTTATTCTAGGCAAGATTTCGGACCTTTGAATTTCTGCCTTGAATGAGGAACAAAAGTCAGCCTTGCATAAGAAATCCTGGGAACTGCGGAGGATTGATGACCGACCTTATATTTGCCAGTTCCTTATTGATTCTTTTTTCTTCAAGCTCTCTGGCTCTTGCATTCCTAAGATCCGCGATGAATTGTACGAGACCCCGCATATTCGAGTTATTGCTGGAGCTCCCGCGGCCCAGAAAGCTTCCAGCGGATGAAGCCATCGTTGCTGTCTTCCTGTCTTTCCGTCGACCTTCTGAGATGGATTATCTGCTCTTTTGATAGAAAAACAAATTGAACAAGAGCGGTGCGCGACTGTAAATTGGCGGAACTCTTGTCGATTCCTGATCGTACTTCTCTTCGCAGACTCCAGTATTATGTTGGACAGTTCACTGGGACTTTTCGGCTTTGAAATGCGCTGGTGGCTACGGATATTTAGCCTTGCTCGTGATCCGCCATCCGCAAACTATTATGGGCGCATTCGCCTCCTTTCCTTCAAATAATCAAACAACACAGAGAGAGGGAGATGGTGTTGGCGGTATCTGGTGATACCGGAATCTAGAATAGTTACAATTGTACTTCTAAATTCCGTTCCGTACGCGGCATAAGGGAGCAATGCATTGTTGCTAGGCAATAACAGGGATTAATTTCTTAGGTAAGGCTTTTTATTTTAAGCCAAACGTTGAACCTTAAGCTTAGCCTTGCGCTTGCCAAATAACCTTACATCATAAAACTCAATGCAGCCTCATTGATTCTCATGGTTCTCAAAGTTTATTAGGTATGTTCTTGTATTGTTTTTATAACCGTCTTTAACTTTTTTCAATACTTCAATTCGTTCTCAATTATGAAGCCTTTAAGTATAAGGCCTTTTCTTTCGAGACCCTCTTCAACAAGGAGATTATGTATATTTCGAAATTACGCTGTACAATCCCCAGGATCGCCCACATTACAAGTTTTCGATAGACATACAAAATATCTACAAAAAGAACGTGCGGCTTTAGACAAGGAGAAAAGTAGACAAGTGGATTACCTGAAGGATGAGGTGGCCATGCGACTTTCGGAAAGGTTATTGGTGAGATTGTTTGGTTCAATTGAGTTCAAATAGCTTATAATAGTACAGGATATCAATAGACATTTTGATCATGTCTTAGACCTTGGAGCGAACTCATGTAACATAGCAAGAGCTCTGACTCTACCCGATCCAGACATCAACCCATCGAAGCCTACGTCTCCTCCACTTTCCTCCCGCATTACCCGTCTCACAGCCGCAGACTCATCTCGGAATATGTTATATCGAGACGAAGATTTACCGTTCAATAAGGAAATAAACCTCACACGCGAAGTGCTTGACGATGAGGAAAGGTTGCCTTATGAAGCAGGAACATTTGATGCAGTGTTGAGCTCTTTGAGTATGCACTGGATCAACGACCTTCCATCTCTACTCGCACAAATCAATCACGTATTGAAACCAGATGCACCTTTCTTAGCAGCGATGTTTGGTGGTGATACATTATTTGAGTTGCGCACTTCATTGCAGCTCGCAGATACGGAACGAAGGGGAGGAGTCTCTCCACATGTTTCTCCTCTAGCAGATGTCAGAGATATTGGGGGATTGCTACAGAAAGCGGGGTTCAAAATGTTAACCGTAGATATTGACGACATCATTATTGACTTTCCCGATACATTTGCCCTGATGCAAGATTTGCAACGGATGGGCGAAAGCAATGCCATACTAGGAAGGGAGGCAGGTGCAATCAAGAGGGATGTACTTCTGGCAAACGAGGGAATATATCGAGAATTACATGGAAACGAGGATGGGACAATACCTGCAACCTTCAGGATGATATATATGATTGGTTGGAAGGAAGGACCGAATCAGGCACAGCCATTACCTCGAGGTAGTGGAGAGATCAATATCAAAGATATTCTTGGCGGTGGAGAGGTTAGATAAAAATTCATTGTTCAAATAACGATGCTTGGGCTGTACAGTACTCGTCGACATGAAATAAATATGTAATATCACCTTTCTCAAGGACCCCAAGGGTACATAAACTGCCATATATTCTCTATGCCTACTCATTTTCTAAAATGTCCCTAAAACTACACTACTTAACTCCGTTATCGAGGAAGTCAAAGCCGCAAGTGCGAAAGCATCTCCAGCAGCAGTCATCGACGGCTGAATCTTTGGCACCAAAAGTGCTGAATTATTATGGAGAATCTGCTCAATCTTACCAACAGACGTTAATCCTTCCCAAAATCTCCCGTCAACGCGACCAAAGTTGTAAAAGATGTAAAAAGCACCGCATCTACAGCCAAGTATGAGAGATCCTCATACCCTCACAAAAAGCCCAGTTTAAAATGACGATCAAGCGCCACCTATTGTCCAGGACAAACCGACAGTAGAAATGCTCAAGATATCTTTTGGTAAGTATTTAGGAAAGAATCTAAGCCCAGCCGACCATTTTGATGCGAGTGATGTAACGTATTCCAGATTCTGTAAAGAATTGGAAAAGGGCGTGCTACGCGCACCCCTTTTCCTTCTCGCTTCGCACCTCTACTGCCTCAAAATTTTAGCTAGTGGCTGTGGTTGTGGCTTAATGGTCTAGTTTTAGCCATTCATGATAATAAATCTTATACTCCGTACTTTCTTAACATCATAGAAAAATCTTCAATAGATCTCGACCAACAGAAAATTAAGCAGATAGACAAAATTCTAATATTATTTCATCATTATTTATGATAATAGAAATCTCATTCATGATATAGAGTTTCAGGTATATTTCTACACTGTATTTCCGCCAGCTTTAAATAAAATAGACCATCTATAAATCAAAATGTTAATCAACGAACATACAGGTAACTTATCTTCCATCCTAGATTCTCTTGTTATGTCAGAAACTGAAATAGCCAGCTGTTTATACGAACAAAGTACTTTTGGTACCATATGAAGAATCACACGTGATTACCTATCATGAGTGGATGAAAGATGAGGTAGGCACAGCTACCCATTTAACAGGATACGGAAGAAATTTATGCTCAGGCTCTGCAACATATGGAAACGCATCTTGAAAAATGAACATAAAAATGGAGACTAACAAGATCATCAGGAAATCCAACAGGCAACCGCTTCCGAGCCCCTAAGTCTCGAGGAAGAATATGCAATGCAAAAAAGCTGGAGAACAGATCATGATAAACTAACATTTATCATCTGTCTACCCGACACCATTGATGCTTCATCAGAAGAGATTAGAAAAGGTGTATCAGATGCCCCTGCGAAAATGATTGGAGATATCAATTTATTCCTCACAGAAGCAGATGAAGATGAAGAGGGATGTATAGGAGAAATAGAAATCATGATAGCCGAATCGTCGGCTAGGGGGAATGGACTGGGTAGATCGGCAGTACTTAGTTTTATGGAGTATTTGAGGAGGCATTTGGAGAGGATTTTGGAGGAGTATAGAGAGGGGATTCAGGGGGAGAAGGAAGGGGGGGAGATGAAATTGTTGCAGTTGAGAGTTAAGATTGGGGGGAAGAATGTTGGGAGTATTAGGTTGTTTGAGAGTGTGGGGTTTGTGAAAGTAGGGGAGGGGAAAAATTATTTTGGGGAGGTGGAGTTGGTTTTTGAGGGGTGGTATGGGGAGGGGAGGTTGAGGGGGTTGATGGGGAAGTTTGGAGTGGAGGGTTATAGGGAATGTGTTTATAAATAATGTGTATAGTTGTTGAATGTCAGAATCGTTTTTATCTTTAAAATTCAGAAAGGTACTTGTGGAGCGGAAAGGTAAGTGAAACTATATCTCGCACTATTACGGAATCAGGTGTTGAGAGTAAAATATTCGAAATTGAATAAGATTCTTCTGTTGCGAATCGAATTTTGCGGGCAGAGGAGAATCCAGGTTGTTGTGTCACGGATATATCAGACGGGAACATCATGTTAAGACTATAAATATATAAATCCATGAAATCAAGGTAGAGTGAGCCCTTACTCTCGCACGAATGAACCATTCCTTCTTCCCAACAAATTAATTCTTTCCGACTTAACCTCAACCCTCTATCCTCCTTTTCCACCCCTTCTCTCCTAAATCACAATCCCTCAATCTTCCTCAAATGCCTAACCTCAAACCCATCCACCCAATCCACAATGCCCCTCCATTCCCTAAACCCCTCCTTGGTACTAAACGCCAAATGTTTCTCCACACTCTTCCACCCACAAAACATGACCCATTCGTCTTTATCCTCCGCCTCCTTCTCTATCCTCCATCCTCCCTCAATCTCATACTCTTTCGCCTCCTCCGCTAATACATGTTTCACCGCGCCATATTTCTCTCTAAATCCTTCTTTGTTGGAGGATGTGATGAAATATCGATTACATGATATTATGGGTGCGGAGAAAGGAGATTTTTTCTTCGAATCTTCTTCTCCGGGTCCTTTTTCTGTTCCTACACGGAGGGGTTGGAGTGCATCGCAGTCTACTGTGGTGTTAAAGAATTAGTATTTACTCCAAGAACTAGTTCCATCCATGAAGCAAAGCAAAAATCCCCACTCATAATCCACACACAATGCACCTCTTAAAGCAACCCAGCTCCAACCATCAATAATATCAAAAAAGAACTGAAAAAAAAAAGGGAAAAATCCCCCTCACACTCACAATGCCACATTCTAATACCCCTCCCCTCCACCGTCTCCCCCACACCCACCCCAACCACCACCTCCCCCTTCAACAAATCAAAAAGTCCCAAATTCTCCACACTCGGAATGAACCTCTCATGATGTTGAGGACTTTCCCACGTCCCGACAATATATATATACGAAGGATTTTCCACCTGTTGATAGAAATAACAAGGATATCCAGCAGCGGTCTCGAGCACGTGTTTGGCAATTCGCAGTTTGGGGATGAGACGGGGGGAAAGTGGGGAGGTGAGGGGGAGAAGTGCGAGTTCTGTGCAGGGCATTTTGGATGGGGTATGTTTGGGAGGGGAGGAGGGGAGGAGGGGAGGAGGGGAAGATGTGAGTGTGATTGAATGGATGGATGGATGAGAGGAGTGCCAAGAAACGGCTTTAACCGTCATGTAAGGTTAATAGGATTGTGGAGTCTTGAGATTATCCGTACGATTAGCGAGAGCTTGTGTACAGTACGTACTTCCCATGAGTGTATATGTACGGAGTGAGTATATCGAAGAAGAATTCCTAACAGCGAACAGAGCGAAGAAAAATAGATCAAAAAGTACCCCCAAAACTCTATCTCTCAATTCATCCCTTTTTTAAAAAAAAACTCTCAAGAACATACGAGTATTCATTTATAACAAATCCCAAATTTCATCTCATAAACAAATTTTTTCTTCTAAAGGATGCCCGTAATAAACAGCCCACCAACCCAAGATATCGAGAGGAACAAAGGAGAACCTCATCTCCTGATTCGTCACATTTCACCTCGCTCCGCTGACAATTCTGTACGACGATGTATTCGGAAGCTCAAGACGATCCCGAATCGTCCTAACCAGGATCATTCTGCTGCAAACCCTAGTCATCTTACGTAGCCCACTCCCTTCCAGACCCGGTTTTGTTACCGTCTTTGAATTCCTTCAAACAGTTGGTGATCTAGATGGATTCTTTGGAAAATTCATAATTGCGAGATTAAAGGGAAACAAGACTTAGTCAGGGGTTAGCTTTTTGCACCCTTTATCCACTCACGATCTTACGAGGAAACGAAATGGTTTTGTACTTGAATGCTTTGAAACTAAATTTGTGTGTGAATTCGTGTATTTGCCATGCCATCGTACTCCATGCGAAAACATTCGTGCAAAGGTATCCACCTCATAACTTTCATTTGCTCAACTTCTATTATCTTTCTCCTAAACGCCAAATGCCCATGAAACGCACATATACCATGTCTCATCTTTCATCCATCATATATACAACCCCAAGTGATCCATCAATAAAGCCATTATTCCTCAATCCTGTTTCGTCGCGGTCGGAACCGCTGCTCTAGCAAAGTCCTCTCTTCGAATACCACTTCTATCACACATAGCTCTGAAAATCCCTCCCTGCTCCCATAACCTGATCGGCTCATCTAACTCTGCAATTGTACCCTTATCCATGACGCAAATGCGATCATACCCGATGATAGTCTTGAGTCTATGAGCAATACATAAAAGCGTCTTGCCTCTGAACCCTTCTTGAATAGTTCTTTGAATCTTCTCATCAGTTTCCATATCAACGGAGCTGGTAGCTTCGTCACAAACAATGATTTGCGAGCCACGGACAAGAGCGCGAGCAAGAGCCATAAGTTGTCTTTGGCCTAGCGAGTAATTTAACCCTTCATCTTCGACTATAGAATCGAGATGTATACGTCCTGTGACCTCATCGTTGAGATTCGAGTCTGATGCCACAAGGTCAGATTGTCGTAACGCGGACCAAAGTTCCAAATCAGTGTGTTCATTGAACGGATCAAGATTGCTTCTGATGGTTCCCTTGAATAGGGTGGGATCTTGCGGGATGATAGCAAGACGAGATCGAAGGTCATGAAGTCCAATCTTGCTGATATCTACACCATCCACAATGATCGAACCACTAGAGATTTCAACAAGGCGGAAGAGGGTGGACATGATACTAGATTTTCCAGCACCTGTACGACCAACCACTCCAATACGCTCGCCACCCTTGATGTGCATCGATAGGCCGGACAAAACCAGTGGAAGGTTTTCCCTGTATTTCATTTCAACATTGTTGAAAACAATCTCGCCACTTTCTGGCCATGACGGGCGAACTTCTATCGTATGAAGTGGCGCCTCCTCTTCTAGAGACGTACCGTAATAATGGAGACGCTCCGTAGCATTCATTCCATTCTCCACTTCCGCTAATTGGCGGACGGTAAACTGAATCATTTGAACAATAGACAGAATGTAAGACAATACCAATCCTGCAGTTGATGGCCCGACGGAGAATCTAGAAGTGATAACTAGAATTCCAGTCACGAATACGAGTAGATTACCGATAACATCAAGCCGGGTTGACAGCCAGCGCTGGTTAGAGAATGTAAGGAAATAAGCAGAATTCATCTCATCAATAGCTTTCCTCAGATCATGGATGAATCGATCTTGTAGTCCATATGCTTTAATAGTAGCTGTTCCAGAGAGCCCTTCACTGAATTTGGCAAATAGATTTGATCGGAAGACTGATTCGAAACGCTTCATTTCTCGTGCCGATGCTCGATAATATCCGGATGCGAAAATGAATAGCACCAATAATGGTGCAAGCGCAATAGCAAAATAATGGAAGTAGGCAATAATTAAGGCAAACACCGAGATAATCATGGCCATAGTTAAAAAGTACATTCGGATGGCATCTGTAAGATTATTATCCATGACATCAACATCTCTCGAAAACCGATTGGTAATACGGCCCAAGGGAGTTGTGTCAAAGAAAGACATCGGTGCTCGGAGTGCTTTTGTAATGGCTTTGCTGAGCATTACCTTACTTGCAATTGTTCCTAGGATTGTAAGAGACCTGATGTGTGGTTAGCAAAAGTGACACTCTTGGTTTAGCGTATAGAGACAGAGTGTCTAGTAGATAGCAGACTAGATCTGAGCTTTCATGTTTGGAAAGATTTAAATCCTTGGCTGGAGTCCGGACCATTGGAAACTATGGGTAGAAAATTATATCACTTACAAAGCAAAGAAGAACAGTAGCAAAGCTTGACCAGCACCGAGCGCAGCATAAACTCCAATATATACCGCAGTGGAGTATCCAAATTTATTGCTTGTCCTCACTGGATAGCCACAAACTAGTGGCAATATTGGCACCTTGCG